CCCCTTTGATGCCTCTGATACAAAATTATTCCGGATGCATCACCAATCATAGTTTACCAACACCTCTCAAGTAGCCATTGGACCAGATCAGACCTTGTAAGCATCTTAGCATCATCACAAACTCCTTCAGCCTTCCTCATCCTGAATGTTCTCTTTGGGCTAGGGATTAATATTTATAGACAGCCATTACATGAGCAGCTGTCTTTCTTTCTATAGTACTCTCTATGATTCTACGTATAGCTCTGACCACTAATGGAATTAGGCAGGGCAGAAAGAGACATAAGAATATAATAAATACTACTCCTCCTACTAACGCCTTAATCCCTCCAAGCTGCTCATACCGACTGCCAAACCAACTACTAGGATTATACCCATTCCAAACCTGAGTAGGTACATGTGTCAGTTTAACCATGTGGCTTGTAAATTCAGCCACTGCCCGCCCTTCCTCACCTATGTGCAAACAGTTGCTGAGATTAAACTTTCCGCATACACCTCCCTCTACTGCTAATAGGTAGTCCAGAGCTAATCTATTTTGATAGATGGCTGATCTCATCCGAGTATTTTGCATAGCTAGAAGATTAAGTGCATGAGCTGTCTCATTACTGATCTCAACCACCGCCTGTAGTCTTATAATACAGTTGAGCATATATATTGGAGTTCTATATCCATAGGTACCATCTTCTGTCCAAGTAGCAGGTCCATAATAATTAATAATGCGTTGGCGAGGTCCCTCATCTTCCCAGCTACCAAGGATGCTCGCTTCTTTTTACGATTTACATCATAAACCTTAACTCCCAAGGTCTCTCCTGTCTCAATTGGCAACAAGAAGAAGGATGGTTTGAGGATACCTAATACACATGCCCCTTCCCAATCTTGTGGTAACTTTTTGAATATGCTTTCTTACCACAGATCCAATATAAATTCGCTGGGGCTTTCCAATTGGATGTAGCAGATAAGTCAAACCATACCTCTTTTAAATGGGGGTAATTGGCAAACTGATTAGTAGGCTCTGAGACATTTAAGCTGACCACAAAGTAGTATCTTTAGTATCGGCATTATAGGCTTTTTGTCCTCGACCTATTAACTCGCCAACAGGTGTGGTATACAATGGCCCTTTCCTGGCTAAACATACATGACCTATAATGGAGGTTTTTAATCGCCACTCTGATTTACCTCTAGTACTTGATGATCAGACTGACAAAGTATTTGTTGTTCATCTGTCTCAGAACCAGGGTACCATACTTCCTTTGCCTCCCATGGCCACTGGTCTCCCATATTAGTACCGCCACATACAAAGCAATTAATTACATTAAGACTACCCGCAATACTCTCAGCCAAATCAATAAATAGGTTCTTAACATTATGGGGAATTTTATCCTCAACACTCATCTCCTCATAGAAGGAATGAAAAACCTGATGAGTTTGAGTTGCTATCGTCTCAGTTTTAAGTCCTACATATATTATGGTCCCTGGAACTACTCCTGTGCCATATATTTGGAACCCAAATAGATTTCCAAACTTATCAATAAAATGTTGTGGGTTACAGATGGTCATATGGACAGGATTACATTCCATAGATTTACAGTGTGGTGTAGTGGGCAACCTTTGGACAATCATATCTTGATCCACTGTTTTTCCCTAGGTTGCCCACCCTACACAAGACCAATATGGACAAACATTTAAATCCCTATTTGGGCAATCAGGATCAGTAGATCTCCTCTTACTGGGACATAAATATTTATCATTAAACCCATAAGTTCGTTCCCATTTAAGATTACCACATACATTCCAAGGTTTTCCACTACCAGAGATCGCCTTACATGCATCAAATAGTAGAATGCCCGTAGAATGTATGGTATCTATCACAGTCCTATTTATCAAGGTCCCCTGGGAGTTACTGTTCCGAATTACCAACCAAATTGTACGGGGTTGGAATTGGGTTCAAAACGTTTAGGCTCTCCTGATATTGGTTTGCACACACTGTAATCTATATCTAAATATCTACACTTAGCTACAGATCCCCTACACTCATACTGTGAGTGCCAAATGAGAGTTTGGGATATTTGGTTACATGTTTTCGTAGTCTTAATGCAGCTAACACAACTCTGTATGTCCTCACCTTTACCTTCCTGAAAAATCACAAAAATGCCTAAACACATAATAGAACATATTATTTCAGAAGTCCTCATTTCTACTCTTCGACCGTGCAACGGCACCTCAGCTTCCCGATTTGTGAGGGCTGCAAGGATTGTCATTCTTCTGATGCTCACTTTTCTTCACAGAGGTCCCTTTGAGACACTCTGGCTATGACACATAGGTAGGTGGTCAGGCTTTATTATGGCCGTCAAAACACCTACTTGCTGATATCTGTTGTTACTTTCAACTAAGATGTCCCAAAATCTCCTCGTATTATTTCTCACTCCGACTGAGCTCCCGTTTTAACCTGATCTTGCAAGGATTTTCAGAATCTGAAATAGCTTGCCAAGAATCTGCCTCTGGTTTAACTCTAGAATGATGAATCCACGGAGTCACTTCTGCCACCTTTACAGCTTACGAACTTATCCAAGTAGGTCTGTATGTTTTTCTTAGTCTTTTGAGGTATATGATACTGACGTAGGCTCACAGGATAGGTCCCAAGCTTTAGTTCAATATGTATAGGTGGAATATTACGAGCAAGTCCAGGTGTATTACTCTCTGCCCATACTCCTGGAATGTCAAATAAAGGTTCTTCACTCTTCGGGTTTACACTTGTCATTATGGAGTAGAAGCGCCATTCTTTTTCCCTTGGCACCGATACCGCCATTATGCCTGGTAATCCATTAAACCTCAGAGACGTTGACACATTGGGTAGAAAAGTTATCTGGGCTTGAAGCTTCGATAATAGATCTCATCCTAGAAGTTGAATCGGACACTGGCATATATAGGAACTGGTGCTTCACCAAATGGCTTCCCAGAATGCAAGTGCAACTTTTAAGAACCGGTATAACTGCGCTTCTCCCAGTAGCTCCTATCACAGTTATAGTTTTTCCTGAAGGTGGAGCCACCAGTTTAGTCACCATGAAATGTTCAGCACCAGTGTCAATCATGAAAGAACTTCTCTTTCCCCCTATTGCTACATCGACCATAGGCTCCGCTCGGCCAAGGGGGATGGAGCCCGGTCGGTATCAATAGTCTTCCATGATAGTGTCAGCCAGACCCACAAAATCTCTATCCTCTCTATCTCTTGGTCTCTGAGAAGGTGAATAATATCGATCTCCTTGAACACTCCCTCTACTATTCCTACCGTTCCCTCCAAAACTTCCTCTTCCTCTATAACTACCACTATAACCTCCTCGTACTCTTCTCTCTCCTTGTCTATTATTTTCTTAATGCTGTCTCTGTGGACACTCATTCTTCCAATGTCCTTCATCTCTACAAAACGCCCATTGATTCCTACTTAAAGGTCCCTTACTCAGCCTATTCTCGACTCCTTTTATTCACTTCCCTTCCCTGTCTTTCTACACTTGTGATAGCTACCGCTAGCATATCTGCCTTCTTCCTCATTTTACGTTCTTCCTCCCGCTTTATCTCAGTTTCCCTATTCATATATACTTTATTTGCAATCTCCATTAGCTGTGATATGGACATCCCTACAAATCCCTCTAACTTTTGCAATTTTCTTTTAATATCACCTTGGGCCTGGCTGACAAATGCTGAGTTAATCATTCGAGAATTCTCAGGGGCCTCTGGATTAAGAGGAGTATACAATCTATATGACTCCAATAATCTTTCATAAAAGGCACTAGGTGACTCATCAACCTTTTGCAACACCTCAGCCGTCTTTGACATATTGATTGCCTTCTTCCCTCCTGCCTTCATGCCAGCAATAATGGATTCCCGATAAGCCCTTAATTGGGGCATGTCGGCACCATTCACATTCCAACTTGTGTCAACATTTGGATAATGGGCTGCAGCCCATGCAGCTGGATTGGCCTGATTTTGCGTATGGGCTGTTTCCTAAGGCGCTTTAATAGCCACTTGATTAATCCGGGTCCTTTCCTCTCAATTAAATAAAGTTAATAATAATTGCTGACAATCGACCTAGGTGGGATTGTGTGTTTGTACAATAGAGGTAACCAAATCTGTCATGACTTGAGGTTTATCGGTATACAAAGAGTTATGAGTCTTCCAATTAAATAGATAAGTGGTGGTGACGGGGACATAGACAAACACTGGATTTGCCCGTTGTATTTGGCCATTTTCATCAACGTGTTGGGCCCGGTGTAAGTCGGAGGGGCATTTGGTAATGTCGGGGTTGAAGGGTACCAGTCATCTGTTGGGTTAATATAGGACTTCAGCGGGGCTGTTTTATAGTAAGTTCCGGTCTAGGAGTAGTAAGGTAAGGAGAATGAGGCGGGTTAATTTTACCGGGCGGAAGTTCAGTCAACAAGATGTTGCGGGCCGGGCTAGGAGGAGCCTGACCAGGAACCAGAAGTGACGTTAATTCCAGATATATAGAACTAGTGGAGGTAGGTTCCCGGAAGGGGAGGACTCAGGGCAAGTGGGCTGGGCTATAAACTAGATGAATGAGTAGGCAGGGACAATGGGAAAGGGGGAGTGGCAACACCAGCAGCACCTCCTCTAACCTTGGAGGAGGAGTAAGGAGGTGAGGAAGGAAGTTCAGACTCAGAGGGAGACTCTAAAATGGGCGGGGTTGCGGCCCTGATGGACAGACGAGTCCATGAGACGAGTCCATGAGGCGACATTGCTCCTCGTGCCATACCTTAATCCATTTAGGCAATTCTTCCACAATCTGTTTCCAACAATCAATATACGGAAACTGATCATAGAATTCAGGCCTACTAGATACAACCGCGTGCACACGTTGCACTAGAGTTAGATCAAGACTACCACGTAGAGGCCATGCGGTCACCAAGATAGGCCACTCTCTACTACATAATGTAGCCACGCTTTGGGGATAATTTCACCCCAAAATCACAAACTTTATATTCCTTTGCAAAGTTTTTCAACATACACGACAATTGATCAACAATCTTTGAGTCAGACGCACCCATACTGGCAACAGGGTGTCTAATACCCCAAACACACTTCCAACGATCACACTTGTTTCCCTGGCAACAGCACCACGTGGCACAGTTGCTAGGCCAAACACACACACACGAAAACACGCAGAGAATTCTCGTACATACAGTGATATCATGACGTCTCACTCACAAAGATTTACCAAACACTAGATACTTGTCTCTGTAACTATAAATCAAACCCTACAATTATCCACATTATAAATCAACTTTTAACTAACCGACTATATCACAGAGTAACCTCATCTTTACAATCAGTGGTTATGATACGGTTAGCAAGTGGTTATAATACAGTTTTAAAGTCACAGATCAGTTAGTAACAGTTATGGTGTTACACATATAACATAAGACAAGTAATATTTAACGTTAGCAGTTATAGTACATGTTAATGGTTATAATACCATGCGCTATTATACAGTATACACACAATTTACACTCCCACTAGACAGCAGAGCTTTCTAGCAGGACATACAATTCACCAACTACAGTATATTTAACAACATTTACAATAATCCCAACTATTCTAATTGGCTAGCATCTCGAGAACTATCAAACTATTTACACCAGGATTCGGTTAGTCTACGCTACCCAAGCACCACATATAGCGAACTAGTGGGCGGAATTTACAACAGTACCCATTTATTCTATCTACTCTATCAATAGTCTAGTGGCTGAATTTACAACTGGGCACACTTAACCAAGATAGGATGAGAACTAGCAGACCGAATGTACACCAGAATCTGCTTAGTCTCGCTGGCCTCCCCGACCTAGCGACTGAAATTTACACCTACACATGCTAGTCAAGACAGGACACCGGTGTCTGACATAAACTATTTATACCAAGATTTAGCCTGACCCAAACCACCTATATTAGACGGGCTGACTACATAGCGTCTAATTTCCAGATAAGCGGTGCGCATTCGCTTCTTCCCTCCAGAGGGAGGGGCAATCCAATAACCGGTTCCAAATATAAAACCCCTTGTGGGCCTACCGCTCTAACGGTATCAGTCTTACCTCTTCGTTCCTGAAACTGGGCTCACACTCATCGACGGGGCACCCCGGTACTTACTACGTAAAGACCGATGATCTCCTGGGCGAGGCAGCCCAGTGGTGCCGAGATGAAGGGATGTCCATGCAGAAGTTCAGGTGTGCTGCCGTAGAGAACGTTGGTAAAAAGTTTACCGTCTCAAATCTCTGCGCCAGCTTCCGTGCGATGAGGTTCCCGGACCTAATGTAACCGAGTAAACTTGCAGAAACCAGACAGAGAGATGGATGCAGGTTTTCAGGAAGTAAGAGGTCTTTATTAACATACCGATCGGGCCTCAGATGAAGTAACATTCCAAAACAGGTCTGAGGGCCGAACACATGGAGTACATCCTTTTTATAGAACTATAACTCCTCCCATTAATAGCTCCACCCACACATACCCTTAACCAATCAGTGGACAGGATTTGGATTTCCTCATATAGGCAGACCACATGGCTCATCCGAAACAAAGGAGAAAGGAGTGTGATTTCGGTTCCTGCATTCCTGCACATGCTCAGTACATTGATGACAGTATCTTAGCTACGTGTAACTAACTAACTGATACAACATACACATATGCCACATGGAAATCTCGGCCTACTAAATTTACATTTCACCGAAATTCCATCACATTATGTTTCTCTGTCTACTTCGGTGTTTTGATCTCTGCTTTCACCTGACTATTCTCCATTCTGTTCTCATGTGACTCAGCTATCAGCTTTTCGCTTCCCTGATTTCTGGCTTCCCTGTATCAGCTTGTCCCTGACCATTCTTTATTTAACAACGTATAACCTGGCCATATCATATTCACACTGTGTGTTGGGTCACTAGGTATCGTGACAATATCTGTTTGAGAGCCACACAAAGAAGGGGGTGAAGAGTAGTAGTACCCAAAAATCCTTGCACCAAGAGGATAGGGGCTTGATCTCCCATTGCTCCTGTCAGTTTTCAGTCCGCCTCTGCACTCAGACACACTAAGAATTTGGAGTTTCTAGAAAAGGACATTTGGAAAGATATGTGTCATGAAGGGATTTGTGCCCAGCATAGGGACTGTCCCTCCCAAACAGAGACACTTGGGAGGAATGTGAAGCTGTTATCTGATTCACTACCACTGTGTTGACGATTTGATTTTCCATTGTGTTCATTGCAAAATAAAATTAAAAATCCTTTTACTATCCTCACCACTCTTGGAATGAAGGGTCGGTGCTTCAGCCTTTTACATAAATACTGTATATCATATCCTTCGCTTCCTCATATCCTAGAGTAATGTTCAATGTGCAGGTCCTGCATTACGGTAATTAGCAGGAAGGGATCTCGTATTGGAGAATGAATACAGAATTCTAAAGAGCAGAGATGGCATTCAATATGCCCTCTCATGGATGTATTTACAGTGAGCTGACATTTTGACAAAGTGCATTGCTCATTTATTCAGCCTTACCCTGACAATCTGCCTATTTACAAAGACTCTGAACACACGCTCAGTTACCTCAATACCCTGAGAATATATCTAATTATTATTTTTTTTTATCGTCTAGTGACAGAAGAACCATCATTGATAATTTATCTTTGGTTAAATGGAAAGGCAGAAATATTACTACTTTAGACAATATCATGAACGGGGCAAGAATTAAACCTTTCTCATCCTTGTTTGTATATTTGTTTTTGAAAGCACTAAATTAAAGAATATTTTTTTTTAAAAAGGAACCGTCATTAATATTAAATATTTTGTTTACTTTCACCTTGCATATAACAAGTGTGATAAATAACACACATTTTGTCAACATTTGAAAATGATTTACAGGTGCTTTTTCTGGCATGTACGCACACAGATGTACACTTATATACACACACACACAGCCATACACTGAGACGCAGAATACCGAAAGCACAGTTTTCTATCCATCTTTCTGTGGGCGTGGCTACTCTGGCTCCACAATTGGTTATTTTCCCCCCTGGAACATAGCAATTATGATATTGATACAGCTGTATTCATGCTACCGTTTTTATTATCTCTGCCCTTTGCATGTCACTCCGTTTTGATAAGAGAAATACTGAGGTTTTTGTGTAGAAATGATCACATTTGCTTTCACATTTGAGCCAGTTTTGTGCCTTTGCGCCATTTCCTTATGTATAAAAAGAATCCTCTGCTCTTACAGTGGTGACTTTTTCAAGGCTATTCATTAAACTGAAAATTGCAGGGAATTCAACGTGAATTTCAAATTTAAAGGATCACTATAGTGTCAGGAAAACAAAGCGGTTTTCCTGACACTATAGTGCCCTAAGGGTCCCCTTCTCGTGGTGCTGAAGGGGTTAAAACTCCTTCAGCAGCTTAACTTAATCCAGCGCCAGGCTCCCTCGGCGCTGGTGACCTCTCCTCCCCTGCTAACGTCAGCGGAGCCGAATGCGCATGCGCGAAAGTACCGTGCGATGGAGATGCCTCTAGTGGCTGTCCAGCAGGCTTAACCCCCAGTTTCTCTGCTATGTTTGCATCTGAAGGGTTAAAACCTGAGGGACCTGGCACCCACACCACTTCACTGAGCTGTAGTGGTCTGGGTGACTATAGTGTCCCTTTAATGTCGAAATCGCTAAACTGGAACAATGATCTCAGCTATGCTTTCAGTTCCAGTACTTCGGCCGACAATGTGGAAATCACTTTGAATTCCCTGCAATTCTCACGTTAGTGAATAACCCGCTTAATTATACGGATAATGCAACCCTGCTGTATGGGGGTGCGAGCTGTGGCCCTCCAGCAGGGAGCCCATGGAGTTCAAGCCATTTTATATAACTGCTTGCCTGGTCCTGTACTGGGCCCTGAGTCTATTAAACAATTGTTATAAACAGGCTGTGTATTCCCAAAGCATCAGTTCTGGGCAGTAATGTCTGTTTCCCACCAGAGCAATGGCTGCTGCTCCCTCAGCTGGCGACACTTCCTGCCCAGCGCACGGTGGGCGGTGTTACGCTCCGTACGTCGTTGTCACGTGGTGCGACGTGAGTCTCAGGATCTGCCGGAAGTGCTGCTCGGTGACTGTCATGGCGCTGAGCAGCCTCTCTGGGTCGCTCCCTGACTCTGTGGCCCCCGACATGCAGAATGTGAAGCAGCTGTCGGGAGAGGTGAGGGACAGAGTCCCAGCAGCTGGGGATGTGATAGAAACCCCCCGGGGGCCTGACTGGTAGTGTCCCCCTCTAAGGTCCTGCTGTGTACGTACACTGAGATTGGCAGCCAGGCCTTCACTGCAGCTCTGGGACATTAGGGGCTCCAGTCCAACATTAATTGTATCCTAACCTAATTGTGACCCTAAGAGAAGTTGTTACTAATAATTGTGGCCCTGGAACCAATTGTGGCCCTAACCCCTATAATTGTGGCCCTAACCATAATTGTGGCCCTAACCATAATTGTGACCCTAACCATAATTGTGGCCCTAACCATAATTGTGGCTCTAACCATAATTGTGGTGACCCTAACCATAATTGTGGCCCTAACCATAATTGTGGCCCTAACCATAATTGTGGCCCTAACCATAATTGTGGCCCTAACCATAATTGTGACCCTAACCATAATTGTGACCATAATTGTGGCCCTAACCATAATTGTGGCCCTAACCATAATTGTGGCCCTAACCATAATTGTGACCCTAACCATAATTGTGGCCCTAACCATAATTGTGGCCCTAACCATAATTGTGACCCTAACCATAATTGTGACCCTAACCATAATTGTGAACCCTAACCATAATTGTGGCCCTAACCATAATTGTGGCCCTAACCCTAAATGTCTTGGCTCCCAGTGCTGCAGTTAAGCTCCTAAGTGTAAGCTCAATGTAACAGTGAGTTTTACATTGTAGAACCCTCACTGAGCAGCCCCTTGATCCATTATGAACACTAATGATTGACTTGGGGTCTCTTCCAGTGGGGATGACTGGCACTAGACTGCCAGACCACTGCGAGAGATGCCAGACGTTGCTGAGGTAGAGGCCAATTGTTGACATTCAGGAACGTTACTAGGGTCCACTAAGATTGGCTACCTGTTGGTTGGTGAGGCTGTTAAAGGCTGCTCGTCATTTTGGATTCATGCTAGTGGCTACCGGCCATCCGGGGTGCACAGTAGAGGCTATTTGCCATCAGGGGTGCACACTTGAGGCGACTGGTTGGTCAAGGCAGATTTTAGTGCCTATTGGTTTAATGCAAGAGGTCCTATAAACCCTGGTTGCCTGGCAAGTTCATGGGAGGGGGCACTGGGCTACTTTATGGAATGCTAGAGTCCTCTCAAGTCACTTGACAATACTTGTAAAAATCCAAGTAATTACTGCCTAAACATGTACCTGGATTGCCAAATGTTAAAGCACTACATTCACATACGTAAACAAATGATTATTTGCTAAACTTCAAAGTTGGACAAACTAAATCTGAATGACAAAGCTGGAGCAAGAATAGGCAAGTTTGTGGCTATGGTTGAGTTGGAAAAAAATTCTTTATCAGTTTTGATTTTTATTTATTATGAGATTTTACTTGCAAAGCTTAGTGAACAATCTTGTTAAATGTAGTCCAGTTACATGCTATCTGTCACGATCACTCACCTCAACAGACTACTATTTATTTTTGTCCAGTAGGGGGTGTGACATGCAAACACTTGGTTTGAAAATCCAACCTAATAGAGAGTATATAAGATGTGTTTAACCTGGAAACAATCCTTGAATTTGATGTGATTGGGACAGACTGATCATCCAAGTTAGTGGTTATTTTGGAACTTCTCATGATGATTATGGAGATGGCACAGATTCCATAATTAAATAACTTTGAGGAGAAAAACAATTCGAATTGGCCGTATGATGCCTTTAGGTATTTCCAGTCTTTTTGATGCTAATTTTTTTAGTCTTAATAAAAGTGTTTTTTCCATTGTGTTTAAATCTTTCCATTGGATTGGAGACATACTTTAAATAAGCCTTTCTTCCCTCCTGCAGCAAGTTTCCCGGCTCAGCAAAGTGATATTTTCTTTTTTGAAAGAACAAGAGGCGGTAAGCATCATTCTGCTACACATTTATTGTTCGTACATTTCAATATAATCTGTTGTTTTTTTTTTTAATTGGAGTTTCATATAAGTATGAACATAATATATATATATAATTTTTTTCTAGTGGACTAAAGCAAATCAGATAGCATAAAATAAAGGGGCACTCTAAGCAACGTACAGCTCAATGTACTTTGTTTTGTCCATTTTTGAGCAATTTAACAAAAATTAGAACCCTCCACAATACAACACAGAAACCAACCCACTCTTCAGCAGAGATCATAATGCGGAATTTTCTCATTCGCCAATAAATTCTGCCCAACATGGCTGGCAGTGATAGGCAGAAAGTGTGAGCTATAGTCAATCATCAATGTCTAAATAGGAATAAATTGATAATGATAGTGCTAAACTGTAAATACCTCATTATCAGGTCAACTGCAGAAGGGGTATTCTCTGGCTTGTGGGGTTTTTGTGAAACCACCTTGAAACAGTGGCCATACACTTTGGCTATATAACCTACACTGAGATGTAGTGGCTACGTTGGTTACTGTTTCTAAATGGTGATAGCACCAAATAACCTCAACGCAGAATCAATAATAATAACAAAGTATTTAACCAGGAAAGATACTGTGGCGGACCGCCGGGTGCCTCCGCCAATCGATGCTCCTAGTGCTCACCGAATACTTCCAGCACTTCACCAGACACCATCAGCACTCTAGTCTCCACTTCCAGTGTTAGAACCTGGTTGGGGTTTCGCTGTCCTCCACCCACCTTGGACCCAAGACCAGGATCCAGCTTCCAGTGGGTATACCTCTCCTCTAAGAGAGTGTAGCAATATGCGCTTAAAAGAGCAAGTGATTATAATCCCAGGGGAGTATAGTGATATAGCAATCCCCAGGGTAGGTACATCCATTTCCCCCACACATGAGATGAGACTCTATGTTGAGGGTAAGCATTAACTCATTTATTGGTAGCCACAAAAGGTCCCCATGCAAGAGGCACTCCCCCTGGACCTGAGAGTAGACTACAGTAAAAACACACACAATTACATTGACTCTCAGGTCCAGGACACTCCCACATAAAACAAGATAATCCTTCCTCTGTGCCTGGGAGTGTGGCAGACCGCCTGGCACCCCAACCAGGTGCCTCTGCCAATCGCTGCTTCCTTAGTGCTCACAGAGTACCAGAAGCACCGCACCAGACACCCACAGCACTGTAGTCCCCACTTCCAGTGTTACAGCTTGGTTGGGTTCTCGCTGTCCTCCACCCACCCAGGATCCAGACCTGAGAGCAAACCACAGCAGAAACAAAGACGAGATTACATTGGCTCTCAGATCCAGGACTGTCCCATACATAATAAGACAATCCCTCCCCTGTGCCTGGGAGATACTCCGTATAGTCCAAAATACCGAACGTAACAGTTCGTGGGTAAACTCAGTCTATGCCTCTCATCGAATGCCACTCTTCTCATAAGAACGCCACCGAACATACTTGGAGATGGAAGTCCCAGCGGTGTTTGCGCCGTCGAGTGTCCAAATATAGTTCCATGCACTCGACGACCAAACGTCACTGTCTGTGTTCACGGCTACAGATGGCCGCCGCCACGTCTTCGCACGTACGAACGGCCACCCAGCTAACCACTTAGAACATTGCGGTTAAGGTGTTGATAGGGGTCAAAAGAGTCAGCAAGCAGCACACGACTGTTCTGGGTTGTCGGTCCGTTCGACAGTTCATTCAGTATACGAACAACATTAGTCTGATCCGTTCGGCAAGCCCGAAATACCGAACCATACAAGTACAAAAGGCACGAACAGTGTATGTAAGCAAGGTTTATCACAGGGGTTATAGTCCTGGGGCAAGAGGATGGCAAGCAAGCCCCTCCAAGAACCAGTGGTGAGGTTCTTTTCGCCACAGTACATTCAGATTACTCTGGTAATAATTGCTTTTTATGTTCATAGCAGTTTTTAATCACCTGCGAAAGGTTGCTGGCTCTTAAATTCAAACTATACCCCTTGTTTATTAATAAATAAAGCATACAAATGATTGCATTATTTGTGTGTGCGTGTTAGTGGCGTCATGTGACTTTTCTTATGGAACGTGCCCTCCAATACTCAAGCAAAGATTGTCTTAAAAAGATTGATTAAATTAAATTCTGATTCTTTTGGGTTTGGGTTTTTGTTACCATTATAGCCCTTCACGAGGATGCTTAATTTTGCAGATGTTTTTAGAGTGTCCGATTAGGAAAGGTAGACGAGGGAAAGAAGTGACCCACTGGTGTGTAATATTCTGTAACCGTTGGGATCACTGCTACATCATTACTTGTTCCTCCTGCAAAAATTATGGCTTTATTTGTCTTTTTTTATTTTTGTGTGTTTACCATGTTCTTTGCTGCAGGCAGAATATTTTACATCTCAGCTCGGTGAATTTGCCAAGGACAATGGCATTAGTCTGGGGCCTTTGAAAAGCATTGTGAAAAGTGTCCTCCTTGTTCTGAATGGTGAGTACAGCCTTATTAACATCTTTGTGCTAAAAAAACATGTTATCTGGGTGATCCCTTAAAGTATTAGAAGAAGCTGATCCAATTCCCTGTATTCCGTTAATTTCTGGAGCAGAGTAGGATATACTGGGGACCCCAGTTCCTGTATCTTTCTCTAGATACGCTTTGCAAAGGAAAAATTATGCAATTAGAGGGTGCTCTACTAGAGAGCTGGAGGATAAGTCTCCTCTTCTTTCCTGTCACTTAATATTCTGCTAGCGAAATATATGGCTTAATTTTTATTCTCTTTTAATTAATGTAGGGTGACCTGTACCAAGACAGGTATGCTTTAAAGCAACTTTAAAAAAATATTATGCTTAGTAGATTTATTAATATTCTTTTTATAAAAATTAGATTATGGGGGTGGCGGAACTAAGCACTGGAAGCAATCGGATGCACGAATGAAGAGCTCTGTGCTAAACACAGCAGAAAAGCGCCTAAAACCTGCTAAACATCCCCAAAAATACCTCACCTTGCAGCTCCGGTTTCCATGGGTCGCAAGACGAAAAAGCCCAAACCCGGTAAGCCCAGACCGGGCATGAACATTGGGGAAATGCTCCGGCAAGCGCATGGCACGTATGGGCCCAAGATGGCCACCGACATAGACTCATACGCTGACTCTTTGGAGGAAATATCTCTGGGCACGGAGAGCACGGCAGTGCCTCTGCCGAAACACCCTAAGCAGATCCCACAAGGCGATGGCCCAGCTCTGGTGACTGAGAAGACCTTTCAGGACATGCTGTCTGACATACAAAAGACCATAGAAAGCAGATGTAGCTGCACTCCGGGTTGAGCTCACGAGCCTATTGGGCAGACTGGGAATGGTGGAGACTGCCACGGAGTCACAAGCCCTAAATATACTCACCCTCAAACAAGAGGTCCAGGCACTAAATAAAACACATGGTCTTTGAGCAGCGCTTTGCCACCATGGAAGACGCAAGACGCCGCAACAGCCTTAAAATCAGGGGAGGACCGGAGTAAATGCCAGCACAGGAGCTTACACACTTTGTAAGGCGACTTATAACTGCCCTACTTGCGCCAAAGCAAGTGAAGTATGTTACCTATGATGGCATCTTTGGAATTCCAAAACCAATGAAGGCCACAGAGACTGCACCAGAGACCTGATAGTGCGCTTTCAAAACCACAAAGATAAGGCAGTGTTTCAGTCAGCATTAAAAGGGATATCCCCTTACTCATTTGAAAATATTGCATTAACATTCTACGCTTATCTGCCAGGAGACACTCTTCAATGGCGGAAAACTCTACACCTCTTTACTGCCATACTCCGAGAACGTGGCATCCAGTATCGCTGGCGTCCCACACGGACTCTGTTGGTCCTGCACAGCGAATCCACTCACCCTGTTCAAGATCTGCGGAGAGCGGGAGAAAGAGAAGCACCCAAATCAGCCCACAGATGGGATCCCACGAAGGTCCTGCCGTTTATCCCTTAGAAGACACACTCTGACGCTATAACTGCAGCCATTCCTTGAAGCCTCTCACCACCTACTGGGCTTCGTTCAACCTAATTGACCAGAACTGTACATAGCTTTTCACTGTTTGTTTTTTGAGCTCCAAGTTACTTTATTTTATTTTGTTTTAATTCATTTCTCTTTTACCAAATAATGGGCTATTATATTTCGCTTCTATATATATGACGCACCACACGTTCAGATGAGTCGTTAAAGACTCTCTGTTTCGTAGTCTCCCCACATAACCATGCTACATAGCCTCCCGAGGCAATTCATGAATTAGATTAGCACTCAGCCTTCACCAGGGTTCACCCATCGTACACTTGTAGATGTAAACGAGGTGGAAGGTACAGGAGAGCAGTAAGAGATGCAACTTCACCCAGTTGGTTCGACAGGCTCTCAATAGACAGAGCTACCTAGCAATAGCTGCTTACCCTCGGGGGTTGATACCGTCACATACCATTAGCCGACACACTGCAAGTTCATTGCTACATTTTTTTTTTTAGCTTAACAATATAAAAATGTGCTGTGACATCTTGCTGTACCACTGATTTGATATGTTGATGGTTTAAGTGCTTGCTTTGCTGTTGTGGCATAGTAAGCTCTAATGTCTTTTTTTTTATGTGCAACAAAAATAATTAAATAATTAGATTATGAATTGTAGGGAAAAAAAAGGAAAAATCACATCTTATAAAGAACATGCACAGAAGTAAATGTTTCACTAATTTTATGTTTCTATTATGCCAGTATAATTTGTCTGGTATTTTTATAAGATAACTATGATTTCAGCACTGATCTAAACCTCTTTATTCTTCTAAGATGCCCTGAGAAGAAATCTTTCAGCTGAACAACTTAAAGCAGACTTTCTAGCTTTGGGTAAGCTTCATCACGGCCCGTATGTTCTAGTGCAATATTTCTGCTAATTGCTCCAAATTCGGTCATGGTTTCCCCAGCATTTGCTGTAAGGTGGTAGAGTTCTGATATTATGTCTGTAACTTGCAGGTCTTGATGAAGAAAGGGCTGGCTGTTTTGCAGATGAGGTAAGGGTTTTCTTTCTGCTTTTATTCATTTGGTTGCCCGGCAAGTGAAAATAAACCACAGGGGGGGGTTGATGATAAATATAAAATCTGGGTCAGTGTTCTAAAGGTGGAGCAGACACCATGGAAACCTGGGAAATGTTCCTGCTAATTGTTTCCCCTATAAAACCCTGCCCACCCCATAATTCTTATTATGGGGGTGGGGGGTATTTTTGTAAAAAAAAATTTTACACACATCCGGGCTGGTCACCCATCTTTAACTTAAACAGAAGTGCTCAGTCTGGCTCTTTATACTGGTTTGTGCATTATCCTTTTGAACCTGATCTCTCTTCCCTGACCATGATGAAGTGTCACACTGCTCAAATTATTATTATTTTTTTTTTCTGTAAAGCTTTATTCATGCCATATTAATCAGTTAATTTATTGTATTACTGCATTTACTATAGAGCCATTAGTTACCTTCTACACTTTCTGTTAGGGGGTCCCTCCGCCTTCCACCCTCTATCTTTAATTCCTGCCTTTTCCTGTAATATGTCTAGGAAACTCTTACAAGAATAAGAACCCACTTAAACTACAAAATTCACTTTTTCATGCCTAGCAATGGCCAACCTTCACTCAGTTGAGGCTGAGCATCATGGGACATGTAGTTCAGGGTGACCATTGTTAACCGTCACTGCCTTAGGAAACTAAGATCAGGAGCTGGCTACACGATATTGCTGCTACACCTCTATAAAGTGTAAAGACCATTTTTCCTGTTTTGATTAAATATAAGGTCCTATATGTCCCCATTTTGTCCTGCACACCAATGATATTGTAAAACCTATCTTTCTTTGTTTATTTTGAGATCAATATCATTACTAATATACTGGGTCTATTCGTGGTTTGATCTTCTGATATCCGACATTTTCATTCTAGTGGAGTCGAGATGCGTCTGTTTTAACGCAGCTGGTGGTTGGTCGCACTTTAAGTATTAATCAGCTGGTGGACATGGAATGGAAATTTGGAGGTAATTGTTACTATAATTGGGTTCTGGCTGCAAGATTTTTTTTCTCATTAGTATCACAATCGGATATTTTTAAAATTTTTCCCCCCCCTTTATTCTAGTAACTACAGCAAGCAGCGAGTTGGAGAAAGCTGGAAGTATCTTTCTACAAGTGAGTATTTCACATTCATATTATTAAGACATATTTTCCCTTTTTTTTTTTTTTTTTTTGAGTATTAAAGGAACACCCCTTGCACCATAACCACTACAGCTCAATGTAGTGGTTATGGTGGAGGGAGTGCTATAGCGCCGTCCCACGATAAGATGTCAAGTGCCTTTACCACAATTTGATATCTTACCTGTGACATATCTGTTCTTCCCCACTTGATACCTAAAGTGTCTGTAGAGTGAAGTAGGGCCAAGGCAGGACAGCACTCATTGGCTGAGAGCTCAAAGCAGACGAGCATGTCCCAAAGTGGTTTTGTCGGATAAGATCAGTCCCCATAGGTGAGAATAAAACATGTTTTCTGTGGATAATTTTTAATGTTTTCATTTAGTGTTTTTTTTTTTTTTTAAATTTATTTTAAAATAAAATGGCAATATCTTTTTTTAAAATTGACGCGTACATTCATAGAAGCATACTGCGTGTGTTTGCCTGTACTCGTCTCCACCACACAGTCAGAGAGGGGTTGGGTGTGTGGTTTCGGTGCTACCATGTACCCAAGCTGATCAGCAATGACTTGCTGAGTGGAGCCATCCGCTGCCGTCTGCAGTAGAAAGATCTATCACTACTACTGTCAATGTTTCATATAAAATGTAATCCATGAATGCTGCCCCAGTGTAAGGATATCACTATGAGTTATGATCCATATTAATTCAGGTTCAATCACTGTGTTTTTTGTTATTTTCAGCTGAAGATGGTTACTAAAAGAGGAAACAAGCCTGAACCTGTATATGTGGGTGAGTGTTTTGGATTTAAAGTGCCATGTTAGATTTCAGGAATCAATCAATCAAATCAGTTAAACTCTGAGTGAGATATTCACTAAAGTTTGAACTGTGGGAGATTCGATGTGAATTGTATATGTCAAATTGAACTGAATATATAGCAAATGTGAATATTTTATTTTCATTTGGCTACTGTGGTTAAAAAGTTTGAAATTCCATTCTGAATTTAAGACAATTCAAACTTTGTGAATACGCTTAACACTTTGAATATTATTTGGTATAAACTCTTACCAGGATTAAAGCACCTGTTACACGGTTTCCTGAGGTTTGAATACAAGTCTGTTGGTGTTTTCAGATTTCTATTGGTTTATTTTAATTAAAGGGACAGTCCACCATAGACTGTATGTGAGTTAATGATAGATAACCTTGGCACATCAGATGTCATATGAGCTACACAACACACTTAAAACATGCAAGGTGTGCCATCAGATTTTATAATAATAATAATAATTAAATATTGTGTGTTTTTTCTTATCCCACTTCCATTAGAATTTAAACTTATTTGAGGATAACTCAAACCATGTCTTGTTCCTCTAAGCCACGCTTGTCTTGTTTATGTACTTATGTCGACACCACCCGCTGTACAGCTCTGTGATGTTGATATTTATGAAAGTCATATGTAGTAGTAGCCTCGAGAAGAGAAGATTGGGTTCTCTCTCAATTCTCCTGGATCTTGACTCGGGGCTCTGGGAATATTGCTTTGATTCAGTACACAGCAAGGAATGCAAGAGAGCCCTAACGCGTTCTCTGCCATTGGGGGAAACAAAGATAGTCTGCTCCATGACAGCCTATGGGGTCAGGTGAGATAAATCTTTTCATTATCCCTGACAAACCCTCAGAGGCATGTTCCATTTCTGTCTTGCCATAATGACTCTGTGAGACAATATTGAAGAACTATCTGAGCTCTGTACAGAACACATTTTTCAGTGAAAATGGTCACGATATTAGAAAAATGTAATGAAATCCATTCATTCTATTAGTAGTTTCAATTTACTGGGGTTTCCCTGTAGAATGAGCATCTCCAGTCTTTACTGGTCCTTTAAATATGTAACAGTATGCATCCATGAGGAATGTATAAATATTATGTTCAGTTGAAGCATCTTCAGTGCGAAGGTGGTACTATATTTTAATTATGTGTGGCCCATGGATTTACTCTGCCATACACCCGAGAACTTGCAGTAAAGTGTCTTCTTATAAATGGCTATCTCCTGTGACGCATGTTGAAAAAGCAATATGGCTACTTCGGTTCAGGTGACAGTGTCCCTTTAACAGAGTTTTTCGTTCCAGAGCTGACCTTGCCGCAGTTTTACAGCTTCTTGCATGAGATGGAGCGGGCGAAGAGCAGTCTCGAGTGCTTTACATGACGAGGCGCAGCTAGACGTCTGTGAACTGGATTCCTGAATAACAAATGTTTTAAGACCAAATCCTTCTGTATCCCCTCCCCTCACTCTATAGGAAAGTGAAAAATCGTGCTGTCTGTCAGTGCGGCCACACGCTGAGTTTGTGGGAAGAAATCTGACCCACAAATAAACTGTACAGTGGGTTCGTTATATCTGGAACCTGTTCTAGAACAAAGTAAAATCTCTCCTCTTCTGTATTTACATTCAAACAGTGCATATATGGATGTAGATGTCGATATTCTACTTGTACAGATTATGGGCTGTTAAAGCTGCAAGCACATTCCTGTTTAGTAGAGGTTACAATATATCACTCTGTGCTGTTTTCTCCATCAAGCTGGAATTCGTTTTGTACCACTGTTAGGGAGGAAATTAAGGCTGATTTCCTTTGATACATTGTGATATAGGGGTCAGATCTTGCCCCCCGTGGGAGTTTTAGTCCTATACGCAATCCCCACTTCTTGCTACAATTGCAGACTCACACATTGTTCTCTCTCCTTAAATTTCCTCCTTCGGTTATTCGACAGACAGACTGAGCCTCTGCTGTGATCGTGGCTCACAATCGCTGTTTGTTCAGGGAAAACCCAGCACTTATTGTCACTCTGGGTAGCCTAACCTCAACCCTGTCTGTTGTATCTGATTCTCTCTGGATGAACTTGTTCAGAAATATATATTCTATTATAATCAAGCTGAGTTTTTTTGTAACCCTTACATTGCCAGAGAAAGTAAAAATGTATGTGTGCATGTCACTATAGTTACATTTACTGTATTTTTTAAGATCCGTTGTTTTGTGAATTAACATTTCCTCTGCAGATGTTTCCCAAGATGTCCACTTAGCATCGTGGGAAACCTAAAGTGCAATGATATGCAGTGCCCTTGTTGGCTATCCTTCACAGTCTGATACGATATTCTGTGCTTTATGCTTCGTTTATCTTTCCATAATTAAGAACAAGTCTAAATTAGACAGTTTAAAGAGACACTCTACAATTTATTGATTTTTTCATTCAATGTTTTCTGTCTGAACATTCTCTACACTGAAGCCTGATCCTCCTCCAGTGAAGTCATCGATTCTGGTGACTTTCGTCTAATCAGATGCTGAGTTATTGAGAACACCCAGGGCAAGCGTGGCAGTCACCGCATTCCTCCAAGCCAGTGCTTCTCAGAGAAGCAACAGCCACATTCCGCATCATGCTGTACGTTATGACAGCGAACATAAAACCTTTTAGGCAAAATGTAATGTTTTTACATTGCCAGAGGAAAGGGATGGCATCTATGCATTAAAACCTCTACATTAAGATGCAGTGGTTTTGGTGCTTTGTGTCCCATTAACCATGGCTTCCTGGTAATAAGGCATTCTGGAGCGTTGTTTCTCGTTAGAATTTAGTTAGCATTTCCTAAGTTTACAGTATCAGAAATTAAAGCAGCTCTGTTACCATCTGGGATCTTTGCATATTTTGCAAAGACCCCCAACAGTGACGGCTCCGTTTAGTGGGGTGCCGGGGAAGTTGAGTTTTACTTATTTCAACTTGTCCCTTGCGGCTCCTGTCGGTCTTCTTCAGCTCCATCTGCCAGTAACTTTTGTTACTCTAAGGAGATTCCCACCAGACTGCAGGATCCTCAATAGACAATGCCTTTTTCCATGCAGACGTCTCTTGTGACAGCTGGAGGAAATGACAAAATGTGAGAGCGGTATCTCCGCAGTAATCCCTACTGTGTCTTAGTATATCTATTGGGGTGGGCGACCTACCCACTTTAAATGTATAACTTGTATATGAAGTTGAATAAAATGCAGCAATTCCATTAACACTCTGACATGAGCTTCTGTCAAAGGGAACTTTACCTGTACCATTCATGACGCTTCTTTTAAATAAACATCTGCTTATCAAGCTTCATTTAGTGTGGATATTAAGATGGTTTATGTTTTTAATGATCTTAAAAGGTATTCCTAAGCTTTGTGATAAAGTATTTGCTTCAACATTTTCTTATCTATGGAAACAATTTATTGTAAAGAAAGAAAGAAAAGTGGTTTTAAATGTTTCATGATGCTGCAAGTGCCAAACACATTTTTATTGTATTCTCTGGACTGGATACAGTCCGGGCTCCCTCGTCACTGGTGACCTCTCCTCCCTCGCCGACGTCAGCTCCCCCTTTTCAATGCTTTCCTATGGAAAGAGTCCATTAGAGACACTCCACTCCAGGCTACTAAAGCAGTTTAGCTAGCTGCTATTTGTTTTTGTTGTTTTTTTTTTTTACATAAGATGCAAATTTCACAAGAAATTTGCACTGTTTTTTATGAAAAGGTTACTCCAATCACACTGTTTTTAGAAGTGGTCATGGTGGTAGGTGGTTGAAGCATGTGCAGTGTTTCAGTTTTAAGTGCTGCGCAAATGGAGTCATTGCCAATTATGTGCTGGTGGCCTTAAAGGGACACTATAGTCACCCAGACCACTTCAACTCAATGAAGTGGTCTGGGTGCCAGGTCCCTCAGGTTTTAACCCTGCAGATGCAAACATAGCAGTTTCAGAGAAACTGCTATGTTTACATTGCAGGGTTAAGCCAGCCTCCATCGCGCAGAGCTTCCATAGGAAAGCATTGAAAAGGGGGGAGCTGACGTCGGCGGGGGAGGAGAGGTCACCAGCGCCGAGGGAGCCCGGCACTGGAAAAGGGTAAGCTGCTGAAGCGGTTTTAACCCAATCAGCACCACGGGAGGTGTACCCTAAGGGTGAGGCATCCTCACGGCACTATAGTGTAAGGAAAACCGCTTAATTTTCCTGACACTATAGTGATCCTTTAATTCTGTGCATGAAATATGTTCACTGATGACTGACATATTGAGCATCCCCTCCCTTTGCCAACTCACAGCACGCACCCGTACTCTGAGCTGGTAAAATGGTCCAACCAAAGGCTCCCTGAGAAACCTTGCCCTTTGATTGGACCACTTGCGGCCACTGTGACGTCATGAGGGGGAAATAAAAAGCTGCACGAAGAGCTTTGCCCATCACTGGATCTTTGGTAAATAAAATTTAAGAAAAAACAAAAAACTATTTTGTAGCAAATAGGAGAGGGGGTGGGGAGAAGAATTAATTTTAAAATATATACATTAAAAAAGGTTGTAGTAACCATTTAAAGGAACACTATATTCACCTAAATTACTTAAGCTAAATAAAGCAGTTTTAGTGTATAGATCATTTCACTGCTCAATTCACCGCCATTTAGGAGTTAAATCACTTTGTTTTTGTTTATGCAGCACTAGCCGTGATTGACCGAGCCTGCATGGAAAAAAAAAAAACTGGTTTCACTTTCAAACAGATGTAATTTACATTAAAGGACCACTATAGTGCCCTGAGGGTGCCCCCACCCTCAGGGTCCCCCTCCTGCCGGGCTGGATGGAGAGGAAAGGGTTAAATCTTAACTTTTTTCCAGCGCCGGGCGGGGAGCTCTCCTCCCTTTTGGCTGAATGTGCATGCGCGGCAGGAGCTGCGCGCGCATTCAGCCAGTCCATAGGAAAGCATTCACAATGCTTTCCTATGGACGCTGACGTCTTCTCACTGTGAAAATCACAGTGAGAAGCACGCAAGTGGCTGTCAAGACAGCCACTGGAGGCTGGATTAACCCTAATATAAACATAGCAGTTTCTCTGAAACTGCTATGTTTATTAAAAAAAAGGGTTAACCTTAGCTGGACCTGGCACCCAGACCACTTCATTAAGCTGAAGTGGTGTGGGTGCCTATAGTGGTTCTTTAAATAATTGTATCTCAATCTCTAAATTGAACTTTAATCACATACAGGAGGCTCTTGCAGGGTCTAACAAGCTATTAACATAGCAGGGGATAAGAAAATCTTAATTAAACAGAATTTGCAATAAAGAAAGCCTAAATAGGGCTCTCTTTACAGGAAGTGTTTATGGAAGGCTGTGCAAGTCACATGCAGGAGGTGTGACTAGGGTTCATAAACAAAGGGATTTAACTCCTAAATGGCAGAGGATTGAGCAGTGAGGCTGCAGGGGCATGTTCTATACACCAAAACTGCTTCATTAAGCTAAAGTTGTTCAGGTGACTATAGTGTCCCTTTAACTTTGTTACACCCCCTGCGCTGTAAATCAGACAACCAGTCCTGTTACTTCCTGGTTGTTTAGCTCAGTGGTGATAAACTCAAGAGACATTCAATTGCTCAGAGCACCTGCCTGTAAAGACTTCTCATTGAGCTGCATTGGGAAGTCTGTGATTGGACAGTCATAGAAAGCCTGGTTGGAGTTCGAAGGGGAGGACTTGCAAAGGCTGCAGGCAAGATACCTGCAGATTTTGCATGATGCATTTAAATATACCTACAATAAGAAGAAAAAAGAGTAATTAAATCTGTGCATGTTTACATCTGTGGTGTATTTACTAAACAGTGATTTAAAAAAAATATATATATATATATATATATATATTTTTTTTATTTAGTTTTTTTATGGTACAGAGCTGGCCTTTTCACAATAAAGTAATTAGGGGGAAACACCACTTTTTTCTGTTACTTGGAATTTGTGGCATCATAACAGAACATTTCTTTTCATTTACATTGCCAGAGGCAATAGACTGACGTTTAGTCTTACCAGCCCGCAATCCATGTATCATTTACTCTAACACTATCTATAGCTGGAGGGATGCAGAAGCCATTAAGTCCTCTAAGCAGAACTCCTTGTGCAGCGGAAACATCTCTACGACTGCAGACTTGTCATTTAGCCTTCTGGGCTCTGATTACATCCTCTGCTCTCCAGATTCCTGCTGCAGCTCTACTGACCATTTATATTTACTATGGTTTATGTTCCACAGCCTGTTTTTCAGTCATGGCTTAAAGAGGACCAGTCCTGTTTGGCCTTGACTTCCAAATATATAAATAATGAAAGCAAGAGGGCATGCATACACTACAAGGCTGCTGACATTGACAAATTCACACAACACACAAGATCTAGAACACACACCCGTACACCGAACAGCATCTTCATTCAAATCTTATAGAATGTAATAGTTTTTTTAACACCTAAGGTAAAAATAATAGGGTTTAGTTACAGAATGTGATCATACATACATTGCAGAAGCCTGCCACAGTGTCACTGTAACCCATTCTTGGCAGGTCCTACTCTAGCAACCTAATGCCTGCTCTTATGAGATTAATCCACTTACTTGGGAAATGCTTCCTCTTGGGAGACTCTGCGATGCAAGGTTAAATAGGGCCCTGGAATGAACCTTGCATTGCAAATACACTATTAAATTCTGTGAGGTTTAAATGAAGTTGCTATTTGGTGGATGGGTGAGTGCGTTGGAACTTGGCATCAACCTTGTAGTGTATGCATGTTCAGTTAAATGCAGGCCTCTTAGTTTCATATACAAACATATATACACACACTTTAAAGGGCCACTACAGCCACCAAAACAACTTGAGCTTAATGAAGCAGTTTTGGTGTATAGATCATACCCCTGCAATCTCACTGCTCAATTCGCTGCCATTTAGGCATTAATACACTTTGTTTATGCAGCCCGGGTCACACCTCCCTGCATGTAACTTACACAGTCTTATCAAACACTTCCTGAAAATAATGATTAAACTTTATTGCATATTCTGCGAGAGAGAGATTGTGTATTTTGTTTTTTTTTTTCCTCCCAAAGCAAGTTGTGACAGATCCATCTGTAAGACTAGTGTGGCTGAATCGTATAGTTTGCCTCCTTTCGCGGAATTGCCTGTCCGTATGCCTCTATTCGTCTTTTTGGACTTATAACCAAATGAAACTACCGAACGGATGGCCACCCAGAAGAGAAGTGTGCTGCTGGTTAACCTCTTGGCCTCAATTAGAACGTTGTGGTTAACCGCAGACACCTCTTAATTATAACCAAACGCAGGGTGGTTGTCGTTCGTATGCCGACCACGAGGTGGCGGACATTTTAAAACATGCGAAAGACCAGCGGTGTTCGGCGCAGATTCTATGGAACTAAAAATGGACACCTTATCTACCGAACACCGCTGAGACTACCGACCGCCCTTCTCATTCGTCAAGGCATGCGAACACCGTTCCGAGTTTGGATTATACGAATGGACTTAACCCAGATAGCCATCCCATGGAGTCAATCGCATACCGAAAGACTGTAGAAGACTTTAACTCCATGGCGATTGAACTGTGCGTATGGGTTCTGAGCGCTATTCGGTAGGAATATGCACTCAGATCAAGGCTATCTGGGGATACGTTGCACGAATGTAATATGTTAGGTAGTTGTATAATTACTTATTTTTATGTGTTTTTTATGTTTCATTTAAAATGGCGATTTGCCTCTGTCCTGGGAGATAATTGAATTACTTCTCAATTATCCCCAGGGCAGAGAGGAGGAAACCAAGATGCATTGTGGGAATATTCTGTGCCTGTATGTCCTAAAGTGCTACATGTCTGTCTGTAACTACAGTCTCCCATTTGGTCCCCTAGGGGAGTGTCCACCAAGTGGGAGACCTGCATAAATACGGGCAGGTGGCCCACAGTAAAGCCAGTTCTTGTTTTACCCTCAATGCGGAGCTTGGTCTCGTTATTGATTTACTACACACGGTTAGCGACTGATTGCTGGGAACGTAAGCCGCTTGGAAGATATATTTGATCGACTGTTAGCCGCGATTCGTGGATTTATTGTTCGGGAGTTTGGAGAACTCGTACGGATCCCGTTCGGGAGATTGGCGCATTCCCCTGGCTTCAGTTCGTGCGGTTGAGGTATATACAAATTGAGCCTGCATTACTGAGGAAGGGGAAGCTTAACTAAACGGCGGTTTCACTCCTGTGTGCCAGGGGTGTCTTAACACAAGTTAACATGTGATTGAAATTGAAACCATTTTTTTTTAATGCAGGCTGTGTGCATCACAGCCAAGGACAGAAAGAAACGCAATTTAATTGCTAAATAGCAGAGAATTGTGCAGTTAGACTGCTTGAGGTCATGGTCTATACACCCAAACTGCTTCAGCTAAACTTGTTTTCATGCCTATAGTGCCTATAAAATGCATAATAACATGTTCATTGCACCACAGCATTATGGGAACATTTTAGTTGCGTGAAAACCACACTAAGCCTAAGGTGTATTCACTAATTTGAGATATGGGGAGTTGAAACGTTCTACATTTTTAAATTCCATTAGCTATTTGATTTTAGTTTATTGAATAAAATATATATTAACAAAAAATGAGCCATATATAAAATCAGTTAAAATTAGTCATTGCTATTATGTTTCAAATACAAAATACCTCAATCAATCCTGGGAATCCTATTTTAAAGGAACATTTTTGCCTTAAATCCTGTCAAATGAATAATTTGTTGACTGGTCTGATTCTACTTTCAGTACATTCGATGTCTATTTTTAATGCCAATAGATGAATAATTTTGTCCACTGCATACAAGACGCTGTTAGCGGGTTCATTTACTTTGCTGTCCCCTTATCCTGTTTAACTACGCAAATCCCTGTATTGTCTTTCTATTTCCTCCAGAAGCAATTTTAAAATCCTGGCATTAACCTAGAAAATCCTTTAACTCAACCCCCCACCCCCAGGCCATTACACATTCTGCCCTTATGTCTTAATCTGTGTCTGCCGACAAGATACCAAGACTGGCGAATGCAAGGCTAGCATTTGAAATCATCGCTTTATTGTCTGACGTTTCTGCTACAATGCCTTTTGATTTAACAGGACAACCTGCCGTCACTTTTTCACTATTCACGTCCGTTTCACACATCCTCTGTGATTGTGAAAGACACACACTGATTTCTCCAATAAATTCTGAATGGCGAATGGTAATAAATCAAAATTCGAAGTGGCAAAACGTAGGCAAAAACCGTCTTAACTAGAAAATTTTCCAACTTGGCTATAGTCAAAGTTTGTCTAAATGTTTGCAATTTGGATTTAAAATACTATCATTACTATTTAAAGTTTAACGGATATCTCTATCAAACGTCAAACCCTTCCCTGTTTAGTTTTCATGGTTAGTGACCCAGAGTACCCCACTAAAGTCAGAAAATTTAGGATTTTGACCAGGTAATTATAGATCTTAGGCCATGCTGGTGGAGTTGAAGAATTTTGTGTGAAAACAGTGTGTTTAGAAAACCAGAATTTCTTTGTGAAACCTTTAAGGTATCCCATCTGTTCCCACCAGTCTTCATAAACACTCTCCGAGCTCGAAACCTATTGTATCCTCAAAATTCATCATCTTCAAAGCGTATCCTAAATCTTGTTAAATCCTCTAATCTCTTGATACGTCAGTTCCAGTACCTTGCCCATCAAAATTAATTTTGCCAAAAATCCATTTTCCTAATGTTTAAATCTAAGTGGTTTTATAATTACTGCAGAGTTAATGAGGAAGCTCAGCGGGAGGGTTCGGGGGGAGCTAAATTGAATTTGTGCTTATAGTGTAACAAAGAAGCCTAGCCCAATCAATGCTGATATCTTTTTACTCTATTCTTTTCCCCTTAATTCTCAGCTAGGCCCTGAAAATGGTCCAGCAGTATCCCCTTTATAGTCACTGCTCAGTTATTATAGAAGGATATATGGATTGTGATTTCTGTACTGTAATAAAGTCTAGAAATATTTAGAAAATTCCTTTGTCCCTTATTTCTTTAGATGTGAATTGAGTGTGACCTTGGTACCTCAGTTCCTAAGGAGACTGTTACTAAGTACAACCTGCCGATTGCATAATTAGTAAGCAGTATTGTTGAATGGATTAAATGGCTGTCACATTTTAGGTGTAAAAGGAAATCAGATTTGAATTATGTTTTTGGACAAAGAAAACCATATAATGAAGGTCAAAAAATGTTTTGGACACCCGAATTCAAATATACGGAAGGAATAAAGGTATTGTTTAAATTGTGTTTTAACCCTTTGTATATCAGAGATAAAACATACTCAGGGTTGTTCATAAAACACAGAATTTTAGCAAATTAAAGGGACCCTCCAGCGATACAAATAAAAATCTTACATTGAGGTGTTTAAATGTAAATTTAGATGATTGTGACCTCCTGCACTCCTAAATAAAGTGTTGACTTACATTCAATCCAATCTGCTAGATTATCAGTAACGATGATCTCCCATTAAAGGGACACTATAGTCACTAGAACAACTACAGCTTAATTAACAGCCTAATTGATTCAATGCATCTCTGTGAGGAGATGCCAATTGGCATAGCACAGTGTTTTGCCATGCATGCGCTATAGCCTCCAAATGCTTTCATATGGGAAAGCATTGGATTGGCTGAGATCGTCGATTTTGATGATCTCAGCCGAGGAGGAGCGGAGACGGAGCTACCAGCGACAGTCCTGCACAGAGCTGGAATTAATGTGAGTAATATCACCCTTTACATTGGTTACGGGGGGGGGGGGGCAGGACCTAAATAGTGATAGAACAGCGATAGTGACAGGAATACATGTTTCTATTCCTTTTTTTTCTAAATAGGGAGCATGCATAACATTCAGCGTATTGAGTATGCAATGCTTCCCATTGAGAAGCATTGAAAGTTTGAGAAGCACTGCTAGGGCACAAAGCTTTTAGGAGGAACATCCTTCTGGCTGTCTGATAGACAGCTGGGAGGGTACCACTTATCGTCTTTAAGAAAGTGCTAATTTCTCTTGAAAAGGAGTTCCCATACACACAGAGTGTTAATGTTCCCCCATAGATGCAATAGTGCCCTGTAGTAGTCCCCTACCAGCACACACAGAGCACCTTAAGAGGTCTCTTATAGATACACATAGAAAATATTAAATGCTCCCCTATAAACAGAGGACACATTAAGGGGTTCCCTATAAACACATACAGGATATACCAGTAAATACACACCGGCCACATTAAGGATAACCCTACAGGTACACTTGTGATATATTTAAGTTTCCCCGTGTAGTTACAAAGAACACATTAAGGGTTCCCTTATACATAAACACATGGAAAATTAGGAGCTACCCTATAGATATACACAAGACACACTAAGTAGTTACCTATAGATACACACAGGATATATTAAAGGGACACTGTAGTCACCAAAACAACGCTAGCTTAATTAAGCAGTTTGAGTGTATTGATCATGCCCCAAAGTCTCACTGCTCAATTCTCTGCCATTTAGGAGTTAAATCACTTTTGTTTATGTTTATGCAGCCTGACCCATGTTTATATTGATAGATACAGGGCCCATGTTATATTGAGATAGATACAGGACCCATGTTATATTGAGATAGATACAGGACCCATGTTATATTGAGATAGGTACAGGACCCATGTTATATTGAGATAGGTACAGGACCCATGTTATATTGAGATAGGTACAGGACCCATGTTATATTGAGATAGATACAGGACCCATGTTTATATTGATAGATACTGGGCCCGTGTTATATTGAGATAGGTACAGGACCCATGTTATATTGATAGATACTGGGCCCGTGTTATATTGAGATAGGTACAGGACCCATGTTATATTGAGATAGATACAGGACCCATGTTATATTGAGATAGGTACAGGACCCATGTTATATTGAGATAGGTACAGGACCCATGTTATATTGAGATAGGTACAGGACCCATGTTATATTGAGATAGGTACAGGACCCATGTTATATTGAGATAGATACAGGACCCATGTTATACTGAGATAGATACAGGACCCATGTTATATTGAGATAGATACTGGACCCATGTTATACTGAGATAGGTACAGGACCCATGTTATACTGAGATAGATACAGGACCCATGTTATACTGAGATAGATACATGACCCATGTTATATTGAGATAGATACAGGACCCATGTTATATTGAGATAGATACAGGACCCATGTTATATTGAGATAGATACAGGACCCATGTTATATTGAGATAGGTACAGGAACCCATGTTATATTGAGATAGATACAGGACCCATGTTATATTGAGATAGGTACAGGACCCATGTTATATTGAGATAGATACAGGACCCATGTTATATTGAGATAGGTACAGGACCCATGTTATATTGAGATAGATACAGGACCCATGTTATATTGAGATAGATACAGGACCCATGTTATATTGAGATAGATACAGGACCCATGTTATATTGAGATAGATACAGGACCCATGTTATATTGAGATAGATACAGGACCCATGTTATATTGAGATAGATACAGGACCCATGTTATATTGAGATAGATACAGGACCCATGTTATATTGAGATAGATACAGGACCCATGTTATATTGAGATAGATACAGGACCCATGTTATACTGAGATAGATACAGGACCCATGTTATATTGAGATAGATACAGGACCCATGTTATACTGAGATAGATACAGGACCCATGTTATACTGAGATAGATACAGGACCCATGTTATACTGAGATATATACAGGACCCATGTTATATTGAGATAGATACAGGACCCATGTTATATTGAGATAGATACAGGACCCATGTTATATTGAGATAGATACAGGACCCATGTTATATTGAGATAGATACAGGACCCATGTTATATTGAGATAGATACAGGACCCATGTTATATTGAGATAGATACAGGACCCATGTTATATTGAGATAGATACAGGACCCATGTTATATTGAGATAGATACAGGACCCATGTTATATTGAGATAGATACAGGACCCATGTTATATTGAGATAGATACAGGACCCATGTTATATTGAGATAGATACAGGACCCATGTTATATTGAGATAGATACAGGACCCATGTTATATTGAGATAGATACAGGACCCATGTTATATTGAGATAGATACAGGACCCATGTTATATTGAGATAGATACAGGACCCATGTTATATTGAGATAGATACTGGACCCATGTTATACTGAGATAGATACAGGACCCATGTTATATTGATAGATACAGGACCCATGTTATATTGAGATAGATACAGGACCCATGTTATACTGATAGATACAGGACCCATGTTATATTGAGATAGATACAGGACCCATGTTATACTGAGATAGATACAGGACCCATGTTATATTGAGATAAATACTGGACCCATGTTATATTGAGATAGGTACAGGACCCATGTTATATTGAGATATATACAGGACCCATGTTATATTGAGATATATACAGGACCCATGTTATATTGAGATATATACAGGACCCATGTTATATTGAGATATATACAGGACCCATGTTATATTGAGATATATACAGGACCCATGTTATATTGATAGATACAGGACCCATGTTATATTGATAGATACAGGACCCATGTTATATTGATAGATACTGGACCCATGTTATATTGAGATAGGTACAGGACCCATGTTGTACTGAGGGAGATACAGGACCCATGTTGTACTGAGGGAGATGCAGGACCCATGTTATATTGATAGATACAGGAACTATGTTATATTGAGATAGATACTCTAGTGCCGGGGAGATAATTAGTTTAAGCAAAATACACTAATTTATCTTCCAGACACAGAGACTCCTGGGCGTGTTGTGGGAGACTCCTGGGCGTGTGTGGGAGTGTCCTAGGCGTGTTGTGGGAGTGGTGTACTATGTTACTGCTGGAGACCCCATGCTGGGAGTCTGTGTATATAAGCTGGCCACTGAGACATAATAAATCCGTCTTCTTGTACCCTTCATCAAGTCTTGGCTGATGTTTGGGTATACCAGAGCCATAATCACTGCTTCACTGGGGAACTTGGGAGAATTACAACAGATATACTCAGTCGGAGTATAGGGGATCCATTACAGATGTTATAATAAGATGTTATATTAATACACAGTACACCCAGGACACATGTTATAATAAGATATTATATTATATTATATTGATACACACAGGATCCATGTTATATTGAGATGTTGTTATTATAAGATGTTATATACACCTAGAACCCATGTTATAATAAGATGTTATATTATATCGATACACCCAGAACCCATGTTATAATAAGATATTATATTTATTGATACACCCAGGACCCATGTTATAATAAGATGTTATATTATATCGATACACCCAGGACCCATGTTATAATATTATATTATATTGATACACCCAGGACCCATATTATAATATATTATAGTGATACACCCAGGACCCATGTTATAACATTATATTATATTATAGTGATACACCCAGGGCCCATGTTATAATGTTATATTATATTATATTATAGTGGTACACCCAGGACCCATGTTATTACATTATATCATATTATAGTGATACACCCAGGACCCATGTTATAATAATATATTATATTGATACACCCAGGAACCATGTTATAATATTATATTATATTGATACAGCCAGGGCCCATGTTATAATGTTATATTATATTATATTATATTGATACAGCCAGGGCCCATGTGATAATGTTATATTATATTGATACAGCCAGGGCCCATGTGATAATGTTATATTATATTATATTGATACAGCCAGGGCCCATGTGATAATGTTATATTATATTGATACAGCCAGGGCCCATGTGATAATGTTATATAATATTATATTATATTGATACAGCCAGGGCCCATGTGATAATATTATATTATATTGTATTGATACAGCCAGGGCCCATGTTATAATGTTATATTATATTATATTGTATTGATACAGCCAGGGCCCATGTTATAATGTTATATTATATTATATTATAGTGGTACACCCAGGACCCATGTTATTACATTATATCATATTATAGTGATACACCCAGGACCCATGTTATAATAATATATTATATTGATACACCCAGGAACCATGTTATAATATTATATTATATTGATACAGCCAGGGCCCATGTTATAATGTTATATTATATTATATTGATACAGCCAGGGCCCATGTGATAATGTTATATTATATTGATACAGCCAGGGCCCATGTGATAATGTTATATTATATTATATTGATACAGCCAGGGCCCATGTGATAATGTTATATTATATTGATACAGCCAGGGCCCATGTGATAATGTTATATAATATTATATTATATTGATACAGCCAGGGCCCATGTGATAATATTATATTATATTGTATTGATACAGCCAGGGCCCATGTTATAATGTTATATTATATTATATTGTATTGATACAGCCAGGGCCCATGTTATAATGTTAAATTATATTATATTGTATTGATACAGCCAGGGCCCATGTGATAATGTTATATTATATTATATTATAGTGATACAGCCAGGGCCCATGTGATAATGTTATATTATATTATATTGTATTGATACAGCCAGGGCCCATGTGATAATGTTATATTATATTGATACAGCCAGGGCCCATTTGATAATGTTATATTATATTATATTATAATATTGGGCCCATGTGATAATGTTATATTATATTGTATTGATACAGCCAGGGCCCATGTGATAATGTTATATTATATTATATTATAATATTGGGCCCATGTGATAATGTTATATTATTTTGTATTATAATATTGGGCCCATGTGATAATGTTATAATGTATTATAATATTGGGCCCATGTGATAATGTTATAATGTATTATAATATTGGGCCCATGTGATAATGTTATATTATATTATAATATTGGGCCCATGTGATAATGTTATATTGTATTATAATATTTGGCCCATGTGATAATGTTATATTATATAATAATATTGGGCCCATGTGATAATGTTATATTATATTATATTGTATTGATACAGCCAGGGTCCATGTGATAATGTTATATTATAATATTGGGCCCATGTGATAATGTTATATTATATTATAATATTGGGCCCATGTGATAATGTTATATTATATTATAATATTGGGCCCATGTGATAATGTTATATTATATTATAATATTGGGCCCATGTGATTATAATGTTATATATTATATTATAATATTGAGCCCATGTGATAATGTTATATTATATATTATAATATTGAGCCCATGTGATAATGTTATATTATATTGTATTATAATATAGGGCCCATGTGATAATGTTATATTATATTATAATATTGAGCCCATGTGATAATGTTATATTGTATTATAATATTGGGCCCATGTGATAATGTTATATTATATTATATTGTATTATAATATTGGGCCCATGTGATAATGTTATGTTATATTATAATATTGGGCCCATGTGATAATGTTATATTATATTATATTGTATTATAATATTGGGCCCATGTGATAATGTTATATTATATTATAATATTGGGCCCATGTGATAATGTTATATTATATTATATTGTATTATAATATTGGGCCCATGTGATAATGTTATGTTATATTATAATATTGAGCCCATGTGATAATGTTATATTATATTGTATTATAATATAGGGCCCATGTGATAATGTTATATTATATTATAATATTGGGCCCATGTGATAATGTTATGTTATATTATAATATTGGGCCCATGTGATAATGTTATGTTATATTATATTATAATATTGGGCCCATGTGATAATGTTATGTTATATTATAATATTGGGCCCATGTGATAATGTTATATTATATTATATTGTATTATAATATTGGGCCCATGTGATAATGTTATATTGTATTATAATATTGGGCCCATGTGATAATGTTATATTATATTATAATATTGGGCCCATGTGATAATGTTATATTATATTATATTGTATTATAATATTGGGCCCATGTGATAATGTTATATTATATTATATTGTATTATAATATTGGGCCCATGTGAGCTGAGCACATGACAGCAGCAGCAGGCAGCCCAGCCCTGGGTACGGTGGCCGGGGAGGGCCAGGCCGGTCTGTGACGTCACGCAGTCCCTGCCCAGCCGCAGCTGTCACACGGAGCCCGAGACCCGGATCCGGCCTGAGGTGGGACCCGGGGGAGACAATGGCCGGGGGGGAGGGAGGCTGGTACCGAGCCGGGCAGGATCCAATCTGTCAGACTGGACCGGGGGCAGTGATACCGGGCAACCTGCGGGGGAGGCAGACAGGTTACCCCGGGATACACCGCGCTGGCTGCCTGACTGACAATAGCACACGGCGCCCAGCACAGAGCACACAGCATAGCATGATACCCAGCACCCAGCACAGAGCCATGCCCAGCATAGCATGATACTCAGCACCATACACCATACCCAGCACCCAGCACAGAGCCATGCCCAGCATAGCATGATACCCAGCACCATACACCATACCCAGCACCCAGCACAGAGCCATGCCCAGCATAGCATGATACCCAGCACCATACACCATACCCAGCACCCAGCACAGAGCCATGCCCAGCATAGCATGATACCCAGCACCATACACCATACCCAGCACCCAGCACAGAGCCATGCCCAGCATAGCATGATACCCAGCACCATACACCATACCCAGCACCCAGCACAGAGCCATGCCCAGCATAGCATGATACTCAGCACCATACACCATACCCAGCACCCATGCCCAGCATAGCATGATACCCAGCACCATACACCATACCCAGCACCCAGCACAGAGCCATGCCCAGCATAGCATGATACTCAGCACCATACACCATACCCAGCACCCAGCACAGAGCCATGCCCAGCATAGCATGATACCCAGCACCATACACCATACCCAGCACCCAGCACAGAGCCATGCCCAGCACCCAATACCATACCCAGCATAGCATGATACCCAGCACCATACACCATACCCAGCACCCAGCACAGAGCCATGCCCAGCATAGCATGATACCCAGCACCCAGCACAGAGCCATGCCCAGCACAGAGCCATGCCCAGCACCATACACCATACCCAGCACACAGCCATGCCCAGTATAGCATGATACCCAGCACCATACACCATACCCAGCACAGAGCCATGCCCAGCATAGCATGATACCCAGCACCCAGCACAGAGCCATGCCCAGCATACCATGATACCCAGCACAGAGCCATGCCCAGCATAGCATGATACCCAGCACCATACACCATACCCAGCATAGCATGATACCCAGCACCATACACCATACCCAGCATAGCATGATACCCAGCACCATACCCAGCACCCAGCACAGAGCCATGCCCAGCATAGCATGATACCCAGCACCATACACAGCATAATACCCAGCACCATACACAGCATAATACCCAGCACACAGCATAATACCCAGCACACAGTGCCATGCCCAGCATAATACTCAGCACAATGCCCAGCACACAGCATAATACCCAGCACACAGCATAATACCCAGCACCATGCCCAGCACACAGCAAAATACCCAGCACACAGCACCATGCCCAGCACCCAATACCATACAGCACCATACCCAGCACAGTACCATACACAGCACCATGCCCAGCACCCAGCATGATACCCAGCACCATGCCCAGCACCCAATACCATACAGCACCATGCCCAGCATAATACCCAGCACCATGCCCAGCACACAGCATAATGCCCAGCACCCAATACCATACAGCACCATGCCAGGCACACAGCACCATGCCCAGCATAATTCCCAGCACCATGCCCAGCACACAGCATAATACCCAGCACACAATGCCATGCCCAGCATAATACCCAGCACACAGCATAATACCCAGCACACAGTGCCATGCCCAGCACAATACCCAGCATCATGCCCAGCATGATACCCAGCACCATACACCATGCCCAGCACCCAATATCATACACCATGCCCAGCATAATACCCAGCACCATGCCCAGCACCCAATACCATACAGCACCATGCCCAGCACACAGCACCATGCCCAACACCCAGCATAATACCCAGCACCATGCCCAGCACACAGCACCATGCCCAGCACCCAGCATAATACCCAGCACAATGCCCAGCACACAGCAGAGCACCATGCCCAGCACACAGCACAGTACCATACACAGCACCATGCCCAGCACCCAGCATGATACCCAGCACCATGCCCAGCACACAGCACCATACACAACACACAGCATAATACCCAGCACCCAGCACCATGCCCGGCACAATACCCAGCACCATGCCCAGCACAATACCCAGCACAATACCCAGCACCATGCCCAGCACAATACCCAGCACACAGCATAATACCCAGCACCATACACATCACCATACCCAGCACACAGCACCATACCCAGCACCGAGCACACAGAACAGCACCATACACAGCACACAGCACCCAGCACAATACCAGCACTGGCTGGTACCGAGCCGGGCAGGATCCAATCTGTCAGACTGGACCGGGGGCAGTGATACCGGGCAACCTGCGGGGGAGGCAGACAGGTTACCCCGGGATACACCGCGCTGGCTGCCTGACTGACAATAGCACACGGCACCCAGCACAGAGCCATGCCCAGCATAGCATGATACCCAGCACCCAGCACAGAGCCATGCCCAGCACAGAGCCATGCCCAGCATAGCATGATACCCAGCACCATACACCATACCCAGCACACAGCACCCAGCACAGAGCCATGCCCAGCATGATACCCAGCACCCAGCACAGAGCCATGCCCAGCATAGCATGATACCCAGCACCATACACCATACCCAGCACACAGCACACAGCACAGAGCCATGCCCAGCATAGCATGATACCCAGCACACAGCACAGAGCCATGCCCAGCATAGCATGATACCCAGCACCATACACCATACCCAGCACACAGCACAGAGCCATGCCCAGCATAGCATGATACCCAGCACCATACACCATACCCAGCACCCAGCACAGAGCACACAGCATAGCATGATACCCAGCACCCAGCACAGAGCCATGCCCAGCATAGCATGATACCCAGCACCATACACCATACCCAGCACCCAGCACAGAGCACACAGCATAGCATGATACCCAGCACCCAGCACAGAGCCATGCCCAGCATAGCATGATACCCAGCACCATACACCATACCCAGCACCCAGCACAGAGCCATGCCCAGCATAGCATGATACCCAGCACCATACACCATACCCAGCACCCAGCACAGAGCCATGCCCAGCATAGCATGATACCCAGCACCATACACCATACCCAGCACCCAGCACAGAGCCATGCCCAGCACCCAATACCATACCCAGCATAGCATGATACATGATACCCAGCACCATACACCATACCCAGCACAGAGCCATGCCCAGCATAGCATGATACCCAGCACCCAGCACAGAGCCATGCCCAGCATACCATGATACCCAGCACAGAGCCATGCCCAGCATAGCATGATACCCAGCACCATACACCATACCCAGCATAGCATGATACCCAGCACCATACACCATACCCAGCATAGCATGATACCCAGCACCATACCCAGCACCCAGCACAGAGCCATGCCCAGCATAGCATGATACCCAGCACCATACACAGCATAATACCCAGCACCATACACAGCATAATACCCAGCACACAGCATAATACCCAGCACACAGTGCCATGCCCAGCATAATACTCAGCACAATGCCCAGCACACAGCATAATACCCAGCACACAGCATAATACCCAGCACCATGCCCAGCACACAGCAAAATACCCAGCACACAGCACCATGCCCAGCACCCAATACCATACAGCACCATACCCAGCACAGTACCATACACAGCACCATGCCCAGCACCCAGCATGATACCCAGCACCATGCCCAGCACCCAATACCATACAGCACCATGCCCAGCATAATACCCAGCACCATGCCCAGCACACAGCATAATGCCCAGCACCCAATACCATACAGCACCATGCCAGGCACACAGCACCATGCCCAGCATAATTCCCAGCACCATGCCCAGCACACAGCATAATACCCAGCACACAATGCCATGCCCAGCATAATACCCAGCACACAGCATAATACCCAGCACACAGTGCCATGCCCAGCACAATACCCAGCATCATGCCCAGCATGATACCCAGCACCATACACCATGCCCAGCACCCAATATCATACACCATGCCCAGCATAATACCCAGCACCATGCCCAGCACCCAATACCATACAGCACCATGCCCAGCACACAGCACCATGCCCAACACCCAGCATAATACCCAGCACCATGCCCAGCACACAGCACCATGCCCAGCACCCAGCATAATACCCAGCACAATGCCCAGCACACAGCAGAGCACCATGCCCAGCACACAGCACAGTACCATACACAGCACCATGCCCAGCACCCAGCATGATACCCAGCACCATGCCCAGCACACAGCACCATACACAACACACAGCACAATACCCAGCACCCAGCACCATGCCCGGCACAATACCCAGCACCATGCCCAGCACAATACCCAGCACAATACCCAGCACCATGCCCAGCACAATACCCAGCACACAGCATAATACCCAGCACCATACACATCACCATACCCAGCACACAGCACCATACCCAGCACCGAGCACACAGAACAGCACCATACACAGCACACAGCACCCAGCACAATACCAGCACCATGCCCAGCACAATACCCAGCACCATACACCATGCCCAGCACAATGCCCATCACAATACCCAACACACAGCACAATGCCCAGCACACTGCACCATCCCCAGCACAATACCCAGCACAATGCCCATTATAATACCCAGCACACAGCACCATGCCCAGCACAATGCCCATCACAATACCCAGCACACAGCATCATGCCCAGCACAATACCCAGCACAATACACAGCACCATATCCAGCACCATGCCCAGCACACAGCACAATGCCCAGCACAATACCCAGCATAATACCCAGCACACAGCACCATGCCCAGCACAATACCCAGCACCATGCTCAGCACGCAGCACAATGCCCAGCACACAGCACCACGACCAGCACACAGCACCATGCCCAGCACAATACCCAGCACACAGCACAGTGCCCAGCACAATGCGGCCAACCATTCATCCTTTGTCATGGTCCTGTTGCACCTGACTGGGGGCAACTAGACCTGACTGGGGGCAACTATACCTGACTGAGGGCAACTAGACCTGACTGAGGGCAACTAGACCTGGGGAGACCTGACAGGGGGCAACTAGACCTGACTATGCGCAACTAGACCTGGGGAGAACTGACAGGGGGTAACTAGACCTGGGGAGACCTGACTGAGGGCAACTAGACCTGGGGAGAACTGACAGGGTGTAACTAGACCTGGGTAGACCTGACAGGGGGTAACTAGACCTGGGGAGACCTGACAGGGGGTAACTAGACCTGGGGAGACCTGACAGGGGGCAACCAGACCTGGGGAGACCTGACAGGGGGTAACTAGACCTGGGGAGACCTGACAGGGGGCAACCAGACCTGGGGAGACCTGACTGGGGGCAACCAGACCTGGGGAGACCTGACAGGGGGTAACTAGACCTGGGGAGACCTGACAAGGGGCAACCAGACCTGGGGAGACCTGATGGGGCAACCAGACCTGGGGAGACCTGACAGGGGGAAACTAGACCTGGGGAGACCTGACACGGGGGTTTCTGGCAGTTTGGGAACTTGTCATGTGACTGAGGAGAATCTGGTTCTGGGGTAACTGTCTGTGGGATATCTCCCACTGTATTATCTGATGGTATCTGCTTTTGTGGTATTATACAATGGGGATATTTGGGTTTGGAACATGGATGTGAGGAGGTATGTGGTGTTGAGTACCTGCAATGGGGGTCTTGTTTCGAGTCACATGTTTGTGGGGTACCTAATAGTGGGTTACCCAGTCCATGTCACCCCACCCCTGACTTTGGAGGTATTTTCTGATTGTGTGTACCCCTGTGGGATAAATAGGCCTCTCTACATGTGAAGAATGGGTATTTAGCCAAGAGGCTTGAATTTAAAGTAGTATGGGTTTGCTGTACCAGTAATGGAGGTACTTGTCACAGAGGGGAGGGGGTTACATTTAATTGTGGGCTATTAAAGGCAGGTACTTGTCCTGTAAAGACATTTAGGGTTACTTGCATCCTGTTGCAGGCTCCATAAAGGGTTATTTGCCACTGCCCCTATACTAGAATCTAGTTTTGGCTACTGAATAGCAGGGCTGGCTGAATGCCACCAAGGCTAGGGTTACCATAACCACCACCATGTATTCAGGGACACATACAACTCTGTCATTTGTATGAAAACACATGAAAAGGGTTGTGCTGTAAAATGTATAATGTAACATGGTAACCCTATTAGTGGGGCATGGCATCTATGGTTTAGATGCAGATGGGCCTGACTGCACGTGGCGTGGAGATATTTATGGGTGCTATCTTTACCTGCTACAGCTTTAGTTTTGGTTGTATATTAATTTGTAGGGGAACAAGGACTCCCCCTCCCCTTCATTTAAACCCAAACACGTCGTTATGGCTCTGGCTCACACCTACCACTCAGCAGCTCCTGATATCAGTCAATCAGCTATTGTTACTGATCTGCTATGTATCAGACAGACTGGCTAAAATGCTAATTTAATGTATTAGATTAAATAGCAGAATCTGATTACTCGATTTGGTATCAAACATTAATCTGTCGATCCTTTACCTCCGTGTTTATTCGAACCCCTCCTGGGTTACGGTTAGGAGGTGCCAGATCTTCCACAGGTTTCCTATAGAGGGGACATCAATGAATTGAGATGGGATTGCAGTGAAAGAATATTTATTTTCCCCCTTACCGCTTATACAGTCTGTATAGACCAGGGCAGCACTTTACATGCCCTGCCCATCAGTATATGTCCACAATCATGGTGGACCTGGCAACCCTGCTTGATCTGGAAGGTGACCCATTTCATTTGAACTTTTTAGTAATAAATCTTCACTCTATAAACTGCTACCAGATCCTGAAACTGTGATTCCCATTTATTAGTAGAATTAGTTTGTTTATAGAGCGCCAATATACATGACACCACTGTGGACGTACATGGGAAAGAAATAAATTGGCAAATAAGGAAGATAGTCTATTGCCTTGCTCATAGAGCTTACACTCTATGGGAAATGGGATATAATGAAGTAAAAGGGAGAAGTGCAAATTATTCTTAATGGATTGTATGGGTGCAAACAATATACAGTATTTGTAATTTCATATATGAATAAATTAAAGTAATGCAGGTTAACTGGTCATTTTATCATTAATATTACCATTTTACTTAAAACTATAGAAATATGCTGGTTAGTTAGACTTGTTTTAACATTAGTGGTTAGTATTACTGGCCTTCTCTCATTATTTTCTATGGGAGTATTACTGGCCATGCAGTCTCTCTCATTGTTTTTTATGGGAGTATTACTGACCATGCAGTCTCTCTCATTGCCATCTAAGGGAGTATTACTGATCATGTAGGCTCTCTCATTGCATTCTGTGGGAGTATTACTGACATTGCAGTCTCTCTCATTGCTTTCTTTGGGAGTATTACTGACCATGCAGTCTCTCTCATTGCTTTCTATGGGAGTATTACTGGCCATGCAGTCTCTCTCATTGCTTTCTATGGGAGTATTACTGACCATGCAGTCTCTCTCATTGCTTTCTATGGGAGTATTACTGACCATGCAGTCTCTCTCATTGCTTTCTATGGGAGTATTACTGACCATGCAGTTTCTCTCATTGCTTTCTATGGGAGTATTACTGGCCATGCAGTCTCTCTCATTGCTTTCTATGGCAGTATTACTGACCATGCAGTCTCTCTCATTGCTTTCTGTGGGAGTATTACTGACCATGCAGTCTCTCTCATTGCTTTCTATGGGAGTATTACTGGCCATGCAGTCTCTCTCATTGTTTTCTATGGGAGTATTACTGGCCAAGCAGTCTCTCTCATTGCTTTCTATGGGAGTATTACTGACCATGCAGTCTCTCACATTGCCATCTAAGGGAGTATTACTGATCATGTAGGCTCTCTCATTGCATTCTGTGGGAGTATTACTGACCATGCAGTATTACTGGCCATGCAGTCTCTCTCATTGCTTTCTATGGGAGTATTACTGGCCATGCAGTCTCTCTCATTGCCATCTAAGGGAGTATTACTGATCATGTAGGCTCTCTCATTGCATTCTGTGGGAGTATTACTGACATTGCAGTCTCTCTCATTGCTTTCTATGGGAGTATTACTGGCCATGCAGTCTCTCTCATTGCTTTCTATGGGAGTATTACTGACATTGCAGTCTCTCTCATTGCTTTCTATGGGAGTATTACTGGCCATGCAGTCTCTCTCATTGCTTTCTATGGGAGTATTACTGGCCATGCAGTCTCTCTCACTGCTTTCTATGGGAGTATTACTGGCCATGCAGTCTCTCTCATTGCTTTCTATGGGAGTATTACTGGCCAAGCAGTCTCTCTCATTGCTTTCTATGGGAGAATTACTGGCCAAGCAGTCTCTCTCATTGCTTTCTATGGGAGGATTACTGGCCATGCAGTCTCTCTCATTGCTTTCTATGGGAATATTACTGACCATGCAGTCTCTCTCATTGTTTTCTATGGAAGTATTACTGGCCACGCAGTCTCTCTCATTGCTTTCTATGGGAGTATTACTGGCCAAACAGTCTCTCTCATTGCTTTCTATGGGAGTATTACTGGCCATGCAGTCTCTCTCATTGCTTTCTATGGGAGTATTACTGGCCATGTAGTCTCTCTCATTGCTATGGGAGTATTACTGGCCATCATTGCTTTCTATGGGAGTATTACTGACCATGCAGTCTCTCTCATTGTTTTCTATGGGAGGATTACTGGCCATGTAGTCTCTCTCATTGTTTTCTTTGGAAGTATTACTGACCATGTAGGCTCTACCATAGCTTTCTATGGGAGTATTATTGACATTGCAGTCTCTCTCATTGCTTTCTATGGGAGTATTGCTGACCATGCAGTCTCTACCATTGTTCTATGGAAGTATTACTGACCATGCAGTCTCTCTCATTGTTTTCTATGGGAGGATTACTGGCCATGCAGTCTCTCTCATGGGAGTATTACTGGCCATCTCTATTGTTTTCTATGGGAGTATTACTGTCCATGTAGGCTCTTTCATTGCTTTCTATGGGAGTATTACTGACCATGCAGTCTCTCTCATTGTTTTCTATGGGAGGATTACTGGCCATGTAGTCTCTCTCATTGTTTTCTTTGGAAGTATTACTGACCATGTAGGCTCTACCATAGCTTTCTATGGGAGTATTATTGACATTGCAGTCTCTCTCATTGCTTTCTATGGGAGTATTGCTGACCATGCAGTCTCTACCATTGTTCTATGGAAGTATTACTGACCATGCAGTCTCTCTCATTGTTTTCTATGGGAGGATTACTGGCCATGCAGTCTCTCTCATTGCTCTCTATGGGAGTATTACTGGCCATGCAGTCTCTCTCATTGATTTCTATGGGAGTATTATTGACCAAGCAGTCTCTCTCATTGCTTTCTATGGGAGTATTACTGACCATGCGGTCTCTCTCATTGTTTTCTATGGGAGTATTACTGACCACGAAGTCTCTCTCATTGCTTTCTATGGGCAGATTACTGGCCATGCAGTCTCTCTCATTACTTTCTATGGGAGTATTACTGACCATGCAGTCTCTCTAATTGCTTTCTATGGGAGTATTACTGGCCATGCAGTTTCTCTCACTGCTTTCTATGGGAGTATTACTGACCATGTAGTCTCTCTCATTGCTTTCTATGGGCAGATTACTGGCCATGCAGTCTCTCTCATTACTTTCTATGGGAGTATTACTGGCCATGCAGTCTCTCTCATTGCTTTCTATGGGAGTATTACTGACCATGCAGTCTCTCTCATTGCTTTCTATGGGAGTATTACTGACCATGCAGTCTCTCTCCTTGCTTTCTATGGGAGTATTACTGACCATGCAGTCTCTCTCCTTGCTTTCTATGGGAGTATTACTGACCATGCAGTCTCTCTCCTTGCTTTCTATGGGAGTATTACTGACCATGCAGTCTCTCTCATTGCTTTCTATGGGAGTATTACTGACCATGCAGTCTCTCTCATTGCTTTCTATGGGAGTATTACTGACCATGCAGTCTCTCTCATTGCTTTCTATGGGAGTATTACTGACCATGCAGTCTCTCTCATTGCTTTCTATGGGAGTATTACTGGCCATGCAGTCTCTCTCATTGCTTTCTATGGGAGTATTACTGGCCATGCAGTCTCTCTCCTTGCTTTCTATGGGAGTATTACTGGCCATGCAGTCTCTCTCATTGATTTCTATGGGAGTATTACTGACCATGCAGTCTCTCTCATTGATTTCTATGGGAGTATTACTGACCATGCAGTCTCTCTCATTGCTTTCTATGGGAGTATTACTGACCATACAGTCTCTCTCATTGCTTTCTATGGGAGTATTACTGGCCATGCAGTCTCTCTCATTGCTTTCTATGGGAGTATTACTGACCATGCAGTCTCTCTCATTGCTTTCTATGGGAGTATTACTGGCCATGCAGTCTCTCTCATTGCTTTCTATGGGAGTATTACTGGCCATGCAGTCTCTCTCATTGTTTTCTAGGCGAGGATTACTGGATGTGTTACAGACAATATCAAGGTTATTCACTAAAGTGAGAATTCATATTTATGGTCAAAATGGAAGAAAGTCAGCTCTGCTTTCAGCTCGACTACTCTGGTCTTAAATTTGAATTTCACTTTGAATTCTCACCTTATTGAATAACCGTGTATAAGCATTATCACTGATATCGTTCTTAAATACGTGTAGTAACGCTCTCTGAAACAGGACGAGGTCATAAAATCCTATCAGTCCACCTATTATAGTGCTTTTTGTTATCCTTTTCTAGGATTTTATGATGTTTTAGTTGTACTTTTGTCTCTTGTACTCCGCACATTTTGCCAGATGAGCCGTACGATGCTCCAGGATTAGTGTTTTCAGCCCAGTCTGTTTGCTTTTCCAAGGAGTCAACCCGTGCTCCACTTTCAGGGTTAATACAGAGCCGATTGTACATTTCAAATGTTACACCAAAATAGCCAAATTGCTTTTCAACATGAATGTCTGAAAATCTGATATCTTGCTGCAGAATTCTAGAAATCTGTCATTTTTGCCAGTTTGGGGTTAAAATTCGTAAACAAAAATTATATAGTTTTGCCCTAATGATTTGCCCTTTCTGCCTCTCCCTACTTTTCGTTTCATAATACAGTCGTACACGGTGACTTAGATTTCTGAGAGCTGTAGTTCCGTTGCTAGTTTTATACAGCAGAAGGCTGACAATTTAGCTATGTAGAGATTAATGAGTTATGTTAAAGGAACACTCCAGGCACCATAACAACTTAATATACATGTTATGGTGCCATGAGACCCCTGGTCATCACATTAAGATGAAGTTGTTATGGTGCCTAAACTGTTCCTTTAATCATTAATATAAAGAATAGTGATGTCCTGAACGGTTCGCCGCGGACGGCGAACATCAGCGGTAAACTTTGACCCTGTACCTCACAGTCAGCAGACACATTCCATCCTATCAGCAGCAGACCCTCCCTCCCAGACCCTTCCACCTCCTGGACAGCATCCATTGTGAAGCTGCATTCTTAGTGAGCTGTCCAGGTGGTGGGAGGGTCTGGGAGGGAGGGTCTGCTGCTGATTGGCTGGAATGTGTCTGCTGACTGTGAGGTACAGGGTCAAAGTTTACCGCATATGTTCGCCGTCCGCGGCAAACCCTTCGAGACATCACTAATAGAGAGTAAAAGGTGCATTAACCAGTGATTGGAAGCAATCGTAGGAACTGCAAATCTTGTTATTTTTTTACTTTATTGTTTTTACATCTATTATTTATACGAGTTCTGTAATGCACTTACAAAGAACGGATTAACCATAGCCTGAAGTCCTTTTTGAATTCTTGGAGTAATTAGTTAATTGATTTAACACTGCAACACGTGAATTTCTCATTCTGCAGAGCTAAACTGTCAGACCCTTCCCAAATCAGAATTCATCGTCTCCCCAAAAAAGGATGTCAAAGTGAACTGTACAAAATGACTAAATTCTCCCGAAAATAACCAGGCTATGTCTGAGAATTTTTCCAATTTAGTTTTTTGGCTTAAATTTTACTGATTGTTTTCCAATTTACAGTTTTTGGTAAAAACAATCTCTTCGTTTTGCTAGCATATTGCATATAAATTTCAATTATAAATGTAAAACCTTAACCATATGAATTCTAGTCCTAAACTTCCAGCTCTTAGCTCTAACTCTTCAGTTCAAAAAAAAAACATAACCACTACAGCTCACTGCAGTTGTTATGGTGCCCCGAGTGCCCTAATGTCCGCCCAGTGTAAGCAGGCAAACCATTTAAAAACATATCTCGGGCAACCGTGGCCACATCCCTGCTTCCTGATGCTTCTGTAAGGACTCCAATAAGCTAAGCATGGTGGTGCAACAATGAGCACCATCCTGTATCCGATGTGCTTAGCTAGGGGAGTTATCCTACAGGAGAAGCCTTCTTACCCTGGGAGAGTTCCAGTGCACTCCTGGCACCATAACCACTACAATGGGCTGTCGTGGTTATGATGCTTGGAGTGTTCCTTTAAAAACTAACCATAAGATTTAATCAAAAAAACAACCTAATACCCTTAACTCCACACACCAGCCACCGGCATTTTTATACCAAAACAGGAAGACATTTCTCCAAATCAGTTATGTTTCCAGCGTGGTTATTTTGTCTGAAACATACAATTCCTTTGACAATTCCTCTCAATTTCCAGGTTAGTAAGTAGCTCTGATGGGTCCTGGAATTGGCTACCATATACAGGCAATTGGTCTGCTGTAGACTGAGGATTCAATTTGAGCTATATCCTGTGATGGACGTATTGCTTGCAGATATGCAGCTTGTTAAAAATGTATGATCTAAATGCTTTATCCGTTCGCCGGAGGCTGTTGGCGCTTGCAATATAGAACTGCCACCTTTGACTTGTACACACATCGGCACATTCTGTGTTTGCCTTTGTATAATGATGGCACAGAGTGATAAACCAAACTCGTTTGAGCTATGCATCTGCTGCAGTTCAGATCTCTCCATGTATAGATACCGTTGTTGACTTTTGAAAGTGTATCGCTGTGATGGATGCACATTTAGAAGTTAGGGAACTTGTTTCTGTTAACGAACAATGTGGAAACTAATATATAAAAAACTAAGCTCAAAGGATTACGGGATTGTAACTTGGCACAACTTGTCTGATGTGTGAAATCCACGAAAGTCAGTAAAATTCTCACAGAATTTTAAGGTAAATAGTTTTTTTTACCACCTGTCAATGAATTTTGTCGAGGAATTGATTAATAAAGGAGAATGGAACAGCCTTCCCACAAGCAGTCCTTCTGCATAGCAACCGCAGAGCAGTGCTGTGGTTGCTATGGTTTCTCCCTTGCTGACGCTGCCAGGCACTGGTGGGGGAATATAGAAACGGAGTATTGACGTCACTCCGTTAAGACATCACCATTGTGGCAACAAGGCCAGCTTGTCGGTGTCACAGAGCAGGTTTGCCCTGCTTGGGGAATCTCCCCCAAGGAGTGCACATAAGTGAAGAGACCAGGCACACTAGAGTAGGTGCTCCAGAAGTGTAACACCCACCTCTGTAATGAGATCGCGGTGGGGGAATAGAGGGTCAGGTAAGTGATGACAGGTTCCCGTTACGTAGCCTGATCCAATCACAGACTTTCATTGATAGAGGTTGGTTTGTTATAAATGTATTTTGAGTTTACGGTAATTTGATAATCATTACTAACAGTGTTACTAACTTAAGTTAGAACTCAAACTGAATTTTACGTTAGGCCAAAGTAGCTGAATAGGACGCGTAGCTGACTTGGTGAATTTTTCCAGTGCAGCTGTTTTAAGCTGAAATGTGAAATTCAATTTGAATTCTCACTTTAGTAAATAGTCCTGCAAGTGTCCTGTGAGATAGCGACCAAAATGTCATAAAAGTTGAATTTTATAAAAAGAAAATAAAAACTACAACTTTTTGTTCAGGGAGAGAGAAGTAAAAGACACGGTTTTATTAGTTAGTAGAGGAGACTAACAGAGACAGTTGTAGGTGAGTGGAGGAGGCTACTAGTAATAGTTGGAGGTAGATTGAAAGAACATATTGAAGGTTGGAGGTGAATGAAGACTAGCAGTGACAGTTGGAGATAGTGAAGGCTAGCTGTGACAGTTGGAGATAGATGAAGACTAGCAGTGACAGTTGGAGATAGATGAAGACCAGCAGTGACAGTTGGAGATGGATGAAGACCAGCAGTGACAGTTGGAGATGGATGAAGACTAGCAGTGACAGTTGGAGATAGATGAAGACTAGCAGTGACAGTTGGAGATAGATGAAGACTAGCAGTGACAGTTGGAGATGATGAAGACTAGCAGTTACAGTTGGAGATAGATGAAGACTAGCAATGACAGTTGGAGATGATGAAGACTAGCAGTTACAGTTGGAGATAGATGAAGACTAGCAGTGACAGTTGGAGATGTTGAAGACTTGCAGTGACAGTTGGAGATGGATGAAGACTAGCAGTGACAGTTGGAGATGGATGAAGACTAGCAGTGACAGTTGGAGATAGATGAAGACTAGCAGTGACAGTTGGAGATAGATGAAGACTAGCAGTGACAGTTGGAGATAGATGAAGACTAGCAGTGACAGTTGTAGATAGATGAAGACCAGCAGTGACAGTTGGAGATGGATGAAGACTAGCAGTGACAGTTGGAGATAGATGAAGACTAGCAGTGACAGTTGGAGATAGATGAAGACTAGCAGTGACAGTTGGAGATAGATGAAGACTAGCAGTGACAGTTGGAGATAGATGAAGACTAGCAGTGACAGTTGGAGATAGATGAAGACTAGCAGTTACAGTTGGAGATAGATGAAGACTAGCAATGACAGTTGGAGATGATGAAGACTAGCAGTTACAGTTGGAGATAGATGAAGACTAGCAGTGACAGTTGGAGATGTTGAAGACTAGCAGTTACAGTTGGAGATAGATTAAGACTAGCAGTGACAGTTGGAGATGGATGAAGACTTGCAGTGACAGTTGGAGATAGATGAAGACTAGCAGTGACAGTTTGAAGACTAGCAATTATAGTTGGAGATAGATGAAGACTAGCAATGACAGTTGGAGATGCATGAAGATTAGCAGTGACAGTTGGAGATGCATGAAGATTAGCAGTGACAGTTGGAGATGGATGAAGACTAGCAGTGACAGTTGGTGGTGGATAAAGAACACTAGAAGAGACGTTTAGAGGGAATGGAGAAGACTGACAGGGAGGGTTTATGGTAAGCTGAGGGTCATGACAAAGACATACAGGGTTATTCACTAAAGTTGGAATACAAGGTGAATTTTAAACTTAATGCCAAAATAGCTCAATTGGACAAATTCTTTAAGTCAGCTATGCTTCCATTTCATCTACTTTGGCCCTAAATTTGAAATTCACTTTGATTTCTCACTGTAGTGAATAACCCTGATAGTGAATGGAGCAGGTTAGCAGGGACAGTTTAAGGCACCAAAGAAGGCTAGATGTGAATGTTTAAAGGATCACTATAACATGGGTCTTTAGGTCCCCCCCACCCTCAGGGTCCCACTCTCGCCGGGCTGAAGGGGGAGGAAGAGGTTAAACACTTACCTTTCTCCAGTGCCGGGCTCCCTCAGCGCTGGGGAACTCTCCTCCCTCTGCCGACGTCAGCTCTGAATGCGCATGCGCATTCAATCAGTCCATAGGAAAGCATTTCTCAATGCTTTCGTATGGACGTCAGCATATTCTCACTGTGATTTTCGCAGTGAGAAGTGCGGAAGTGCCTCTAGCGGCTGTCAATGAGACAGCCACTAGAGGTTGGATTAACTCTATTGTAAACATAGCAGTTTCTCTGTAGGCTTAACCATAGATGGACCTGGCACCCAGACCCATTGAGCTGAAGTGGTCTGGGTGCCTATAGTGGTCCTTTAAATAACCTCTGAGCAGCAACTGTCAGCATGGTGGGTAATGGTCACAGGCTAGTAATAAAAACCTTGCTCTGGGTGCAGAAAGATACGGATGGCTTGGTGGGTGAGTGGGCAATCATATAAGTGAGGAGGTGGCAATGGGTTGTAAGACATTTTCAGACATTGTGTAGGTGATTTAAAAGAGGAGGAGGTCTTTTTGTTAGGAGCTTTGTCCGTTATCTGAGTGGGTTGAGAATCAGTTGTGAAAGGAGGCCGTTGCATGAGTTGGTGGGCATTCGAAAGTGAGTTGGGGGCTGGTAGGGATATTTTTGATATTAGTTTTGGTAATGATAAAAAATCAACAATATTAAATAGCAGGGACAAGAGGTGGCTAGCGGAGGGATCTCAGGTACAGGGTACAGACAAGCAAGGAAATATCTAGCATTGACGAGTCTGGTAGAGAGGTGGTACGTTTAAAGGATTCACAGGTAGAATTTGTCCAGGAAGGACAAAGGATCTCAGGGAGCTATTTAAGCAACAAGAACAGAGATTAGTAAGTAAAGGGGATCAGGCAGACAAGGCTGGGTATTGGAAGGGGGATTTCACTGAGAGCTCAGGAGTTTAAAGCAGAGAAAAACACAGAGGATGGCATTAAAACTGTCAGGACACAGAACGTGCAGAGTGCCCGGCTGAGAGATCTCTTGGCAGTTGAAAGTGACGCCTGAGGATGGTGTGGTTTATATTGCTGGTTTCTAGTTATCTTCAAGCTGATTGGAGGGCATTATTTCTTGATAAACACGATTATACACTAAACTCGGAATTGGCAGATAATCAACAAGAGAATTGTAAATGATAGGCCAAAATATCAAAGCTGGGAAAATAGCAGATTTTTTAATTGGTTTTATTTCTCAATTTGGATATTTTGGCTTGTATGTATAATACCTTTGTCAACTCTCCACAATTCCTGATTTATTAAATAAACCCCAGATCATTTTTTGAGCTGTCACTGGCCTGTACCAGACTTCCGGATTTAAACTTTATTGCATGTTGCTGAGGGGAACAAAGTCTGAATAATATATCTTTGCAAGCTCTCTTTCCCTTGTTCCCCTCATTCCCAGCACATGGGGTGAGTGGGTGCTGTGGTCACACCGAGTGTAGCCATTTTTTTTGTGGGCACTATGCCAGGCTGCTAACTATATGTTACGGACAGGGTATTCTTTGAGCTTTCGCTACAGTACTCTGCTTTGTTTTGCTTATAGCACTTTCCTCTATTCCAGGATGAGAGCTCGGTGAGTGAAGACGAGCCGGATATGAATGAATCCACATGGACCGATAAATCTGGGACCCCCAGTGAAGACGAGAAGATGCGGAGCCCACACAATTTGCAGGGTGCGGATGACGGTGAGTGATTCTGAAAGTTATCTCCTACAATTTTGCATGTTTACCTGTGCCAATAGCGTTAGAAAATAAAGATGATTTGTGCATCTCTTCTGTTGTGCATACTCTCCTAGACCTGGCTGAGCGTGTTCATAGTTGTATTCCAGCAATATCGTTTGATGCCAGCTTGTTAAATATAAACTAGTTACTAAGCTCGTTTAAGTAGGATACTCATCAACTTTTCATTCCAGTCAAAAATTGCAATAGTTTGTCTCCTTGTTGTTGAATTCTCCCCTTGATAACATTGTAAAGCGCTGCGGTATAAGTTGGCGCTATTCAAATGCCAATAATAACTGAGAGCAGTTAGGTTACAGCCCTTTTAAAATCAGACAGAATCTCCAGCGCTCACAAGTTACATGTGGTTCGGAAAGTAAAGGGTTACGGATCTGTCGAAGGAATGTGTAGGAGGAAGAGGTCATAGTTGGTAAGGGGTGTGTTGCATCTGGAAGAGCTCGGTTGTAAAAGGTAAATAGATATGCTCCAATTTAGGTCAAAGATCGTTTCTATGGAGTTTGGGTAAAGGCCTTTTTGTTCTGTGACCCAAATTGGTTGGGAGCGGGTAGATTTGAGATACATTTATATTGATCGAACAATAGGTCTTGTCAGCACTAGGGGTTTCTGGGCGATAATAGGAAGCTGGGTGAGTTGCATTATGTCTGATATAGAATTCAGTGTCTGCCGTGTGCAATGTTGCAGTATTCAGTACCTAGCAGAGAGATTAACTGCCATATTAGGAGCGCAGATTATGTGAATTAGGTATTTGTTTGTGCGCGAAGCGTTTTGTATATTGTGGGAAAGTAAACAAAGGTACATTAATGACTGTTGTTTGTTGGAGGAAAATAAGGGAAATTGCAATTTATATGGTAAAGTGTATATAATATGTTTATTTTATTACATTATGTTTATACAGTATGATTCTGCAAGGCAGGAAAAAGGAACCCAATATATCAGAGGGAAACAGAATGCACATTGCAAGAGAATTATGGGAGCACTGGATGTACAGTGAGGTCTAGTGATGGGATCTCTGGATGTACAGTGCGGTCTATTGATGGGATCTCTGGATGTTCAGTGAGGTCTAGTGATGGGAGCACTGGATGTACAGTGCGGTCTATTGATGGACGAGCTGGATGTACAGTGCGGTCTATTGATGGACGAGCTGGATGTACAGTGCGATCTATTGATGGGAGATCTTGATGTACAGTGAGCCTTACTGGTAGGAGATCTGGATGTATAGTGAGGTCTAGTGATTGGAGATCTGGATGTGCAGTGAGGTCTAGTGATGGGAGATCTGGATGTACAGTGAGCCTTACTGGTAGGAGATCTGGATGTATAGTGAGGTCTAGTGATTGGAGATCTGGATGTGCAGTGAGGTCTAGTGATGGGAGATCTGGATGTACAGTGAGCCTTACTGGTAGGAGATCTGGATGTATAGTGAGGTCTAGTGATTGGAGATCTGGATGTGCAGTGAGGTCTAGTGATGGGAGATCTGGATGTACAGTGAGCCTTACTGGTAGGAGATCTGGATGTATAGTGAGGTCTAGTGATTGGAGATCTGGATGTGCAGTGAGGTCTAGTGATGGGAGATCTGGATGTACAGTGAGGTCTAGTGATGGGAGATCTGGATGTACAGTGGGGTCTAGTGATGGGAGATCTGTATGTACAGTGGGGTCTAGTGATGGGAGATCTGGATGTGCAGTGAGGTCTAGTGATGGGAGATCTAGATGTACAGTGTGGTTTAGTGGTAGGAGATCTGGATGTACAGTGGGGTCTAGTGATGGGAGATCTGGATGTACAGTGGGGTCTAGTTATGGGAGCTCTGGATGTACAGTGCGGTCTATTGATGGGAGATCTGGATGTACAGTGAGGTCTAGTGATGGGAGATCTGGATGTACAGTGCGGTCTAGTGATGGGAGCACTGGATGTACAGTGCGGTCTATTGATGGACAAGCTGGATGTACAGTGCGGTCTATTGATGGGAGATCTGGATGTACAGTGAGGTTTACTGGTAGGAGATCTTGATGTACAGTGAGACTTACTGGTAGGAGATCTGGATGTGCAGTGAGGTCTAGTGATGGGAGATCTGGATGTGCAATGAGGTCTAGTGATGGGAGATCTGGATGTACAGTGAGGTTTAGTGATGGGAGATCTGGATGTACAGTGAGGTCTAGTGATGGGAGATCTGGATGTACAGTGGGATCTAGTGGTAGGAGATCTGGATGTACAGTAAGGTCTAGTGATGGGAGATCTGGATGTACAGTGGGATTTAGTGATGGGAGATCTGGATGTACAGTGGGGTCTAGTGATGGGAGATATGGATGTACAGTGCGGTCTATTGATGGACGAGCTGGATGTACAGTGCGGTCTATTGATGGGAGATCTGGATGTACAGTGAGGTTTACTGGTAGGAGATCTTGATGTACAGTGAGGTTTAGTGGTAGCAGATCTGGATGTACAGTGAGGTCTAGTGATGGGAAATCTGGATGTACAGTGGGGTCTAGTGATGGGAGATCTGGATGTACAGTGGGGTCTAGTGATGGGAGATCTGGATGTACAGTGGGGTCTAGTGATGGGAGATCTGGATGTACAGTGAGGTTTAGTGGTAGGAGATCTGGATGTACAGTGGGGTCTAGTGATGGGATCTCTGGATGTACAGTGCGATCTATTGATGGGAGATCTGGATGTACAGTGAGGTCTAGCGATGGGAGCACTGGATGTACAGTGCGGTCTATTGATGGACGAGCTGGATGTAAAGTGCGGTCTATTGATGGACGAGCTGGATGTACAGTGAGGTTTACTGGTAGGAGATCTTGATGTACAGTGAGCCTTACTGGTAGGAGATCTGGATGTACAGTGAGGTCTAGTGATGGGAGATCTGGATGTACAGTGGGGTCTAGTGATGGGAGATCTGGATGTACAGTAGGGTCTAGTGATGGGAGCTCTGGATGTACAGTGAGGTCTAGTGATGGGAGATCTGGCTGTACAGTGCAGTCTGGTGATGGGAGCTCTGGATGTACAGTGAAGTTTAGTGATGGAAGCTCTGGGCGTACAGTGAGGTCTAGTGATGGGAGATCTGGATGTACAGTGAGGTCTAGTGATGGGAGCTCTGGATGTACAGTTAGGTCTAGTGATGGGAGATCTGGATGTACAGTGAGGTTTAGTGGTAGGAGATCTGGATGTACAGTGGGGTCTAGTGATGGGAGATCTGGATGTGCAGTGTGGTCTAGTGAATCTGGATGGGGTAAAAAGATGATTCTGGGTGGATAAAGGGAAGATCATGTTAGGTTGAGATAAAGAGTATAAGATTCTGGATGAGACAAAGGGGAGATGATTTTAGGGTGGGTAAACTTGGTAAAGGTTAGATGGTTCTCGCTGGGGCAGAGGACACATTAGTCTGGATGAGGTAACCTTATATTATTTTGAATGAGGTAAAACGGAAATGATTATGGATGGGGTAAAGGGGAGATAGTTCTAGGTCAGGTAGAGAAAATATGATTTATTGCAGGGTACAGGGGAGATGACTCTGGGTAGGTAAAGAGGGGGAATGACTCTGGGTAGGTAAAGAGGGGGAATGATTCTGGGTCTGTTAAAGGGAAGATAATTTGGGTAAAATAATGAAGTGATGACTCTAGATTTGGTAAAAGGACAGTATTCTGCCAGTGGGAGATGATTCTAGCTGTAGTAAAGGGAAGGTGAGTCTGGATGAGGTACGGAGGACAGAACTCAGAGTAGTGGTATTGGAGACGTGGTTAAAGGGTAGTGGTATTGGAGATGTGGTTAAGTGAGAGTAGTGGGGCAATGATTCTGGATGGAGTAAAGGGGAGAGATGGGTATGGGATAAATGGTGAGATGTGAGGTAAAGGGGAGATGATGGGATATGGGGTAAAGTGGGTATGATTATGGGTGGGGTGAAGGGAAGATGATTGGTTAAGGGGGAGATGATGGGGTAAATGGGAGATGGTTTTGTGTGGGGTGAATGGGAGATGGTTTTGTGTGGGGTGAATGGGAGATGGTTTTGGGTGGGGTAAAGGGGAGATGGTTTTGGGTGGGATGAATGGGAGATGGTTTTGGGTTGGGTAAATGGAAGATGGGGATGGGGTAAAGGGGAGATGATTGTGGATGTGGTAAATGGGAGATGGTTTTTGGTGGATGGGTAAAGAGGTTTTTTGGTGGGGTGAATGGGAGATGACGATGGGGTAAAGGGGAGATGGTTTTGGGTGGGGTGAATGGGAGATGATTGTGGATGGGGTAAAGGGGAGATGGTTTTGGGTGGGGTGAATGGGAGATGGGGTAAATGGGAGATGGTTTTGTGTGGGGTGAATGGGAGATGGTTTTGTGTGGGGTGAATGGGAGATGGTTTTGTGTGGGGTGAATGGGAGATGGTTTTGTGTGGGGTGAATGGGAGATGGTTTTGTGTGGGATGAATGGGAGATGGTTTTGGGTGGGGTAAAGGGGAGATGGTTTTGGGTGGGATGAATGGGAGATGGTTTTGGGTTGGGTAAATGGAAGATGGGGATGGGGTAAAGGGGAGATGATTGTGGATGTGGTAAATGGGAGATGGTTTTTGGTGGATGGGTAAAGAGGTTTTTTGGTGGGGTGAATGGGAGATGACGACAGTGTATGTGGACATTTGTCTTGGGTGGGGTAAAGTGGAGATGATTGTGGATGGGGTAAAGGGGAGATGGTTTTGGGTGGGGTAAAGTGGAGATGATTGTGGATGGGGTAAAACGGAGATGGTTTTGGGTGGGGTACAAGGGAGACAGTTCTGTGTTTGAGAAGTTCACCGTTAATTCTGTGCTATTTATGAAGTATGCATATATTCAATCTATACAATGTGTCCATATCTATAGGTCATGGGGTGAATGGGAGGTGACGTGGATGGGGTAAAGGGGAGATGGTTTTGGGTGGGGTAAAGTGGAGATGATTGTGGATGGGGTAAAAGGGAGATGGTTTTGGGTGGGGTACAAGGGAGACAGTTCTGTGTTTGAGAAGTTCACCGTTAATTCTGTGCTATTTATGAAGTATGCATATATTCAATCTATACAATGTGTCCATATCTATAGGTCATGCAGGTAATTACAGCCTCTGTGTAATGTCAGAAGACGGCTAGCTGGAGGACGGCTAATACAGCGTAATCCATGCAAGATCAAGTGAGATTGTATGGGGGATGGGAGACCCTTCAAAACCTTAATCCACAGACCCTCTCGCCTCTCCTATGTATTCACAGCCACAGATCAGTGAGACACACAGCCATTTACAGCACTGGGATACACACAGCTATATACAGCACTGGGATAAACAGCTATATACAGCACTGGGATACCCAAAGCTATATACAGCACTAGGATAAACAGCTATATACAGCACTGGAACACACAGCTATATACAGCACTGGAATACCCAAAGCTATATACAGCACTGGAATACCCAAAGCTATATACATCACTGGAATACACACAGCTATATACAGCACTGGGATACACCCCTATATACAGCACTAGGATAAACAGCTATATACAACACTGGAACACACAGCTATATACAGCACTGGAATACACATCTGTATATACAACACTGGAATACACACAGCCATATACAGCACTCGAACACACAGCTATAAACAGCACTGGGATACACCACTATATACAACACTGGAATACACACAGCCATTTACAACACTGGAATACACAGCCATATACAGCACTGGGACACACAGCCATATACAGCACTGGGACACACAGCCATATACAGCACTGGGACACACAGCCATATACAGCACTGGAACACACAGCCATATACAGCACTGAAATACACACAGTTATATACAGCACTGGAACACACACAGCCATATACAGCACTGGGACACACAGCCATATACAGCACTGGAACACACAGCTATATACAGCACTGGAACACACAGCTATATACAGCACTGGAACACACAGCCATATACAGCACTGGAATACACATCTGTATATACAACACTGAAATACACACAGCCATATACAGCACTGAAATACACACAGTTATATACAGCACTGGAACACACAGCTATATACAGCACTGGAATACACATCTGTATATACAACACTGGAATACACACAGCCATATACAACACTGGAATACACAGCCATATACAGCACTGGGACACACAGCCATATACAGCACTGGAACACACAGCCATATACAGCACTGGGACACACAGCCATATACAGCACTGGGACATACAGCTATATACAGCACTGGAACACACAGCCATATACAGCACTGGGACACACAGCCATATACAGCACTGGGACACACAGCCATATACAGCACTGGGACACACAGCTATATACAGCACTGGGATACACAGCTATATACAGCACTGGGACACACAGCCATATACAGCACTTGGACACACAGCCATATACAGCACTGGGACACACAGCCATATACAGCACTGGGACACACAGCCATATACAGCACTGGGACACACAGCTATATACAGCACTGGGACACACAGCTATATACAGCACTGGAACACACAGCCATATACAGCACTGGGACACACAGCTATATACAGCACTGGGACACACAGCCATATACAGCACTGGGACACACAGCCATATACAGCACTGGGACACACAGCCATATACAGCACTGGGACACACAGCCATATACAGCACTGGGATACACAGCTATATACAGCACTGGGACACACAGCCATATACAGCACTGGGACACACAGCCATATACAGCACTGGGACACACAGCCATATACAGCACTGGGACACACAGCTATATACAGCACTGGGACATACAGCTATATACAGCACTGGGACACACAGCCATATACAGCACTGGGACACACAGCTATATACAGCACTGGGATACACAGCTATATACAACACTGGAATATACAGCCATATACAGCACTGGAACACACAGCTATATACAGCACTGGGACACAGCCATATACAGCACTGGAACGCACAGCTTTATACAGCACTGGGATGCACCGCTATATACAGCACTGGGATAAACAGCTATATACAGCACTGGAATGCACAGCTATATACAGCACTGGAATGCACAGCTATATACAGCACTGGAATGCACAGCTATATACAGCACTGGAATGCACAGCTATATACAGCACTGGAACACACAGCTATATACAGCACTGGGATACACAGCTATATACAGCACTGGAACACACAGCTATATACAGCACTGGGATACACAGCTTTATACAGCACTGGGACATACAGCTATATACAGCACTGGGACACACAGCCATATACAGCACTGGAACGCACAGCTTTATACAGCACTGGAATGCACAGCTTTATACAGCACTGTATATTAGTATGTAGCAGACACAGAGACTGTGATATCCTGTAACAGACAATGAGTGTAGATGTCTCTTTCAGTATGTGTAGAGAGCACGTGCTTGTCTGTCACAGTTCTTACATCTGCTGTCCTTACCGCGGTGTCTTTGTGCCGAGGTAACAGGTAGTGGATTGGTTTGGATTCCCTCCCCCCCCTTCCTTCCTCAGTTCACCCCTAAATGATCCACTAGTTGATAACACTAATCTAGAAGACATTCCAATGTGTATCTGCAAAGTTGGTCCCTTTCCAAATATAAAAGTTCCCCTTCTTCCTTGTCAAACTCTGGTGTTTAATATGATCAAGATTAAGGCAAACCTTTCACATTAATATGCTGGGAGTCTGACTTCTCAGAACAAACATATGATAGAACAGCGTTGTGCAAGAGCCCCCTACACTACATACCCCCGGCAATTGTCATCGAGTGATCACCATCAGCTTTGGCTATAATAGAAATGGTCACCAAAAATGGCAAAGTTGCTATTGACACACGCACTTAACCTGCCAAGTTGGTTTAATTCAGAGTAAGACATCGCTGGCTTTTCCATTTGGGCTCTGCGTTCTTCAGTGGTCCTTCAGATGTGGTTTGATGATTTCCAGAGTCGTTTGGAACCCAAAATGGGGTCTCCATGCTATCTCAGTGTGTCCCATTGGCAGGAATATTCTTTTTGTCAGGCCCCTGGCAGTTGCAAGCCCAAAAAATGATTACAGAAGCAGTGCAAATGAGGCCTTTATAATACTAGGAAGGGTCAAGAGAAGGTGTTTTTCTGAATGTATTTTAATTATTTGACAGTTTAGGAGTGCGTTACTGAGCTCATTTTGGAATTGAAGAATGAGTTACCATGAAATATCACATACATAATCTCTTTCCAAGAAGGTTAACAGTCACAGATTTAGCCAGATCAAGTGATTTGTTCACAAGAGGCACTATTTGGCACATTATATTTCTCTTGGTATAAGCAAGTACTGTTGACAGGATTTCTAGAGTTCTAGACAGTCACCTAGCTTTATATTGTCATTTTGTCTTTTCAGATGATTCTTCTTCAGAGAGCTGTAATGGCAATGTCTTCTCCACTTTGAACCCGTCCACTGTCCCACCTAGTACAGCTCGAGATGCATCACTTCCTGATATAAATGGGAATTCCACAGGCTCTACTGTGGAACTCACTGCCTCAACTGAAGACCAACCCATCAATCTCAGTGACAAGGTGCGCCCATCTGTTGGAGTTCCACCATACCCAACTGATGGCTGTACCACTGAAGCCCTACGTAATCGTGGAAAATATGTCCTCAAGGCAGAGGTGGGTGACTTTGAAGTGGGAAAGGGGAGAGTGGATATAACCGAGAGGTCATATTCTAATTTTCTGTCTCCTTTCTTAGTCTCCACCTTATAGCTCTGGAAGTTACGACTCCGTTAAGACAGATGTTAGCGGATGCGCTGAAGACCTGACGGTTGGACGGACTCCTGTAGGTGATGACGATGATGATGATGACCATGAAGATAACGATCGAATCACAGACACAGAAGGGCTGGACCCTGAACGTCTCAAAGCTTTTAATGTGAGTCAAAATGTATTTTCCCTGTAATAAACGTCATTAGTGCAGAGCATAACATTGACCAACTTGATACAGTTTATTAAATTTTCTTCCAAGAAATTCCTGGCAGTCCCACACAATGCTTCTTTCTTTTTAGATGTTTGTTCGTCTGTTTGTGGATGAAAACCTTGACCGCATGGTTCCCATTTCCAAACAACCCAAGGAGAAGATTCAAGCCATTATCGAGTCCTGCAGCCGCCAGTTTCCAGAATTCCAAGAGCGCGCACGCAAACGCATCCGCACATACCTGAAATCCTGCCGACGCATGAAGAAGAATGGAATGGAGATGGTGAGAACAGAAGCGAGAGATTCCGGTGTGAAATACCTGCAGGTGGTTAACTGGTGTTTGTGACATAACTGCTGTTGGTTTCCTAGTCTATCATACACATGTATGCACATAGTCTACGGGTCTGCAGGATGTGACAATAAATTCAGGGAACTCTTGCAGGGACAGGTAGTTTGTGGTTACAATATTTCGACGTGACAAATATTTACCTTATTTCTCTCCTTATCTGTATTATGCAGGCCAGGCCAACCCCACCTCATCTTACCTCTGCCATGGCGGAAAACATACTGGCAGCCGCCTGTGAGAGTGAGTCACGGAAAGCTGCCAAGAGAATGAGGCTTGAAATCTACCAGAATGCTCAGGTACGCTGGACAGTGATCAGCTAGAATTAAAAGGCAGGAGCTCAAAGCGAATTTCAAATGTTAGGCCATATTAACCGAATTGCAAAAACTCCCCAATTCAGCCATGGTTTTCATATTTTTTGATATTTTGACCTTTTGACTTTAAATTCACTTTGAATTCCTGAGAATTCACATTTTAGGGAATTACTCTATTATATATAATATATTAAAACTGAAATACAAAAAATCTACAAATATATACTTACCGGTACCTTTGAAGTTCCTGCATTTGCCCTGAAACCTGATCAGTCTAGGAAGTAGCTGACAGCAGTTTCATTCATCGGAAAATGTAAATGGAACTACTGCTCACGCTGATAGCAGCCGCAGCAAAGCAGAACTCCTTATACTGTTATGAGCGCAGCTATAGATGCAACGTTGCATGGCTACATCCACGTTTCCAGCGAGAAGACAGTTTCAGGGACCTCTTTCCTCCTTGATCTATGACATGCAATAGATATAATTTGTTATGTTCTTAAAGAAAAAAAAAACTGGTGGTCCACAAATATGACTTTCCCATAATAGCCAATTTCCGTGCGATTTCACTTGCTGTATGCCATGCTGTGCGGTGAGTGTATTGCTCATAGATGTTTTCACTTCCCATCCTACACAGGAAGACAGCGTTTCAATGGAGAAACCCGCAGGACTTGCACAATCCACATACTCTCTGCCGTCAGGCACCTTTAACCAGGACCCTGTGTATGTGAATGGTAGTCTCCACTATACCTACCGCGGATATGGGCCCATCGGAGGGAACCTTCCACCTCCCACTCCACTGCCAACCGGAAACCACAGCAACGGTATGGTTCTAATTACACCCACTGGCACCCAGATGGATAGCACATATGATAAATTAATTTCTCTCTTTTTTCTTTTTAGTTTTGTATACTCTCTTCTTTGAGCCCATTACAGCACATCGATTTTATCACCTCTCTATTGGAATATATACAAACCAATTGCCTTTCCGTATCTACATAGCATGTTGATTTCTTTGAATATTTAAACTTTTTCATTACATAGATCATTTATTTGAGCAGCACACAGTGGGATTTATGCACTGAACTCTAAATTGTAGCAAATCGAAAAAATCTGAATAGCAAGTTTTCGGCTTAAAAAAAATCCAAGCTGTGACTGCAGCTCTAGAATTGTTGATTTTATTGAGATCAGCTGTTTTTACCTAAATTTAGCTTTTCTGGATTTCAGTTATCTCCTCCTCCAGTTAAATGTTTCTGTTAGGTTTGTTTTCTAAACTGAGAGTGATGGAGAATTAACAAGAGAACTTCACATTTTAGACCAAAGTAACCAAACTGGAAAAGTTCTCCAATCTCTGCTTTCTTGGTCTGAATTTGAACAGTTCACACTTGTGAAAGTTTGTGGAATCTGCTGCCCTGCAGTATGTAGAATTCATATTAAGCTGCAGAATTATGCCTTGATAATCCGTTTTGCCTACTGCAGGACAGGACTTTATCTTGTCTCACCAACATATCCCTTCTATTAATAGGTCCAACTGACCTCAGTATGAAAGCTTTGGCTACCGGTAGCACTCACTCCAATGCCACCAACAGGGCAATCCCATGTGCCCAACTGAGTCCCACCGAGATCGGCGCTGTTCGGCAGCTCATTGCCGGGTATCGAGAATCGGCGGCCTTCCTGTTGCGCTCTGCTGATGAACTGGAAAACTTGATACTGCAGCAGAATTGACTGGTGCTTCTGCTTGACCTCCAACCTCAAATTCTTGTTTTAAGTCTGGGACAAGTCAAAGAGACGTCTCCTCACCCTCCAGACAAAGTCACAGGCACTGAACCTGCCATATGTCCTCCGCAGGAGCCGTGCATTTCACAGGGACATATGGGGACTGTCTCTGCACTAATAGGTTTCCCTTTTGCACCCTACGTCTAGAATGAAATCTCTCCAGCCCAGCTGACAAGAACCACTTATTTATTGAGAACGGAATTTCTTTTAGTAATTTATTTTTCTGACAATGTTTTTTTTTTCTTTTGTTTGTACAGAATAGTTGTTTGTATCTGTTTAATGAACTGTAGCATTGAACTGACATTCCATCTCCCCCTGCACTTACACTTTCTCACCAACTTGATGAACCCTAAACCCCATCTCCGTATAAATCTACTGTTCTCATTCCATCCCCAAAATATACTTCAGCCCTAAACAGCCATCTGCCCTCTAAAGCATCTGATCATCTAACTCGTCCTTAAACCCGTCCAGCCATCTACCTTCGTGTCCTTACCAGTGTCCCATCATGTTTTAACAGTGAGCTTTTATCTGCCTTCATGTCTCTAACAATGTCCCATCACCTTCCTCCTTGCCCTTAACACTGCACAACTTGTTCTGTGTTCTTAACCATCACCGCTATTGCTAAACTTAACCTTGTCCCACCAGTTCTTTCCATACCCGCAACTTTCATTACTCGTTTCTTTATAACCGTATATATATATCCCATTATCTATCGCTCTGCCCTAAACCCCATCCTTCTTTTTTCCTCAAGACTGTCCAACCACTTCTATCTCTGCCCTTATCCTTGTCCCACCATCCAGCTCCAGGGTTCAGGCCATTGAATTGTATCTCACAAATGTTGAATGAATCCATTAACACTAGGACCATTAGCAATCCCAAAAACCTAGACCATTCCGCCATCTCTATAATAGGACCATTGCCTCCAAGCTTAGATCCTTCTCAGCATGAGTAAGTGCCAGGATGTCCTCCATGTCTCCTCACATCCAACCAACGTGTGGTCACTGGGGAGCTGAGTCATTAATACACTAATGTTAGCTCGCTGCTGCTATTACTCACCTTTCTTCAGGTAAACTCAGCTGTCCCTGGGCACACCTTGGATGTCTAACCTCTTCTGCTTGGTATTGTTTTCCTCAGATTTTTGCACAGAAAGTAGCAAATGGTATATTTTGCTTTACATAATAACTCAGGCAGACAACACTCACAACCCTCAATCTGCACTTCCACTTTTTATAATCAGGCAGATAATATCCGTACTCTTAATGTAGGTCCGACTGTGTTATTCGTAAAATCTCCCACCCACTACTCTTGCGCTAACAAGAAGTGCACTCAGCTTTTCCTGTTGGTCCGTCTCATTTCACAATATTTGCATTGTCTGTCCTGTTTGTAATTAGTTTGTATTTGTTATTAGTTCAGTGGACCACTGTTGTTTTTTATGCTTTTTTTAAATGTACTGACCATTCCATGTACCCTCAGCCTGTTCACAGGGGGGGGTGTAACAGTTGTAGTGCTAAGCGGGGTAGTGATGCTACACATCGTCTCATGTTGCACGCACCAATGGCACTGAATGGGTATCAAGCACTTCCTTTAAACTGGTTAAATGCGGATCTCTAAGAAGATCACGGTTCTAAATGGGGCCAACTTCAAAGACCTTTCTAACATTGCGTCTGTACCGCCAGCTGGTAAGGCAGCGAATGTGAATATAGGTGAGTAACCATTTGTTGTGGCAATGCTGCTCTTGAGATAGCTGTGGATTCACTACTGATCAATGAACTTGATATTGCAAGTCCAACCATGGTTGGGAAACATTGTATATAGGGGAAATATCAGTGCAATCTTTTCAGTTTTTCTGGTGTTCACTCAGAACTTTGTTGCGGTTAATCGATTTTCCTGTAACCTCAGTTTCCTAAATGAACTCTATTGCTCCAGGAACTGTTTGTTCTGTACATTTCAGTAAATGCCGCTACAAGCACTCTCCCACCACAACCACTTCTTGATCATTACTGTAACAGAACAAGAGAAACCTCTATGCTTTCGTTGTATGATAGAGTGAAACTGGAACGATCCAGTCTTTCTGTGCTAAATACTTCCAAAAGCTTTACGTGCAGCCAACATGAATCTTTGGTATTTTAATTTCCTCCTGTTTTTGGACTCAGTGAAAGTGTCCTGTTTACATGTACAGATGTCCCAGCTACTGCAAGACTAGGTAGAGAAAATGCCATTTAAAGCTCTTCTGCTCATCAAAGCCGGCGGCTGTAACCCATATGCACACGTTCTCTGCCCCTTTTCAGATAAAGACCTAGAATCAGTTCTAATAGTACTCTGTACGGCATTATTCACACAGTCCCAACAGCTCTTTCAAATCACCATAACCGCTCAGGTTTTACAGAAACTCAGTCCAGATCTATCAGTGAATCAATTCTTTCAAATCCACATGACACCACGCACAGTTAGGGACCAAGGGGTATTGTTTTATAAACCAGACATCTAAGTGGAATGCTACGGTGAAGACCAAACTGAAAACAAAGCAGGATACATATAGGATTTATGCAGGGGTTTTAAAAGAATAGCTGTCACCATGGAAACCAGTGGAATGTTCTTGCAGAGTTTATTGGTTTCTATGGAGATTACTTCACTTTTAAATCACCTCCCCTAGTATACTTTAATACATTCATTCATGATGGCAACTTACTCCAGAGCTCAGCTCCTCCCATTGCACAACAAATTTACCAGAAAACCTCCTCCATTACAGCATTGACTCCCTCCTGTATACACCATCACACTACATCAGTGGTTCCCAACCAAGTCCTCAAGTACCCCCTAACAGTCCAGGATTTAGGGATTACCCAGTTGTGTCTAACATGTTTTTAGAAAGGAAAAACACACACTTTAGACACAACTGGGTAATCCCTAAATCCTGGCCTGGTAGGGGGTACTTGAGGACTGGGTTGGGAACCATTGCACTACAGTACCCTCGCACTACAGCATTGACCCCCTCCTGTATACACCATCACACAACAGCACCGACAAATGTGCATCCACCATCACACTACAGCATTGACTTCCTCCTGTATACACCATCACACAACAGCACGGACACGTGCATCAACCCTCACACTACCACATTGACCCCCTCCGGTATACACCATCACACAACAGCACCGACAAATCTGCATCCACCGTCACACTACAGCATTGACTTCCTCCTGTATACACCATCACCGACAAATGTGCATCCAACCTCACACTACAGCATCGACTCCCTCCTGTATACACCATCACCGACAAATGTGCATCCAACCTCACACTACAGCAACAACTCCCTCCTGTATACACCATCACACTACAGCACCGACAAATGTACATCCACCGTCACACTACAGCATTGACTTCCTCCTGTATACACCATCACACAACAGCACCGACAAATGTGCATCCACCCTCACACTACAGCATGGACTCCCTCCTGTATACACCATCACACAACAGCACGGACACATGTGCATCAACCCTCACACTACAGCACAGAAACACATGTACATCCATTCTTACTCTACAGCACTAGCAGACGTGGCATACACCCTCACCATATCATCAACTCCCAACTATATACACCATCACACTACAGCATAGAAATACATGCGCATTCACTCTCATCTACAGCATCAACTTCCACCTGTATATACCATCAAACAGCACTGACACATGTACATACACACTACAGCGTCCACTCCCACCAGTATACACCAAACCGCACTGACACATGTACATCCACTCCCACCTATATACACCAAACAGCAGACACATGTATATACACACACTACAGCGTCCACTCCCACCAGTATACACCAAACAGCACTGACACGTACATCCACACACACTACAGCGTCCACTCCCACCTGTATACACCAAACAGCACTGACACATGTACATCTCCCACCTGTATACACCAAACAGCAGACACATGTACATCCACACACACACTACAGCGTCCACTCCCACCAGTATACACCAAACAGCACTGACATGTACATCCACTCCCACCTGTATACACCATCAAACAGCAGACACATGTACATCCACACACACACACATACAGCATCCACTCCCACCAGTATACACCAAACAGCACGGACCCATGTACATCCCCACACACACATTACAGCATCCACCCCCACCAGTATACACCAAACAGCACCAACACATGTACATCCACACACACTACAGCGTCCACTACCTGAATAAACCATCACACTACAGACACATTCTCCCTCACCCTACAACACATGCAGATGTGCACATCCACCTTAAATATAGCATCGACTCCTGCCTATATACACCTTCATATCACAGCACAACACATAAGCATCCCCCCTAACACTACTACAGACACATGCGCATACACCCTCACACTACAGCACTGAGTCTCTCCCAAATACACCCATGCACTACTCCATCTTCCACTGTATGTACCCTCACTCAACAGTATCGACTTCCACCCGTATACAACCCCGCACTATAGTATCTACTCCCATGTGCATCCACTTACACTGTATGAGTCTATAGCATCAACTCCCACCCGCACCGACCCTTGCACTATAGCATCAAACGCTTCCCCAACAGCATTCATTGTTGCACTACAGCAGACTTCAAAACAGCGAGACTTGGCTCTTTTAAGCAGATGAGGACTTTTTACAATATACATATATAATATATGAAATATATTTATTGTTTACTGACAGTGCTTTCTTTATAAGTAAATGTGGTTATTAAATATCTTAATTTGTAGGATTTTTTTTTTGTCATAAGATGTGTTGTGTTTAGCAGACAGTCCTATCATTTTACCCAGAGACCAATGAGCTGTCTTATCACACTGTAAAATCCATGGTATTAAATGCTAAATGCACTGACTTGCCACAAAGTGGATGCCCCCCTTTTTAATATGTATGTCATATGTAAGGCTGCATAAAGAACACTGCATAATAAATTTTCCCGCGTTTCAGGAAAAATGTGTAAGATGCTTTCGTTTGTAATTCACCAGTGGTCTTTTTACACCTACAATACATTCTGGTCTCAATGAATAACTTTATGTGAACTGATTCTCACCTAATAATGCCTTTTGCTGCCAAACAGTCTATGACGTCATCAGCAAACTAAGTAGGCTTTAAAATACATAGCCTTCGCCTTCAGGCTCTCAAAGCATCATGGTAGTTGTAGTTAAAATGCTAAGAGAATCTACCTTTCTGCCACCCAAGATAGAAAGCAAAAACATAGTAAATGAAATCTTTGTCGTGGTGTAGAGGGCCAGTCATGCAAATTACCAATGGCGGCCCACAGTAGAAAGCAAAGTTTTTATCAACGTACGGATCACTCTGCTGGTAAAACTGTACAATGCACATTTTTTAAAATGTTACTTTTGCTGCGATCCTATTAAAAAGGTTTACAGCCATAATCTAGTATTTGACAGGATAGCAGTAAAACAGTGACCTTGGCCATTACCAACCTTAGTCTACCATGTCGACCCAAGGATAAAAGATACATCACTTCCTCATCTAAGAAGGATGGGATGGCTGTATGTACAGCTGTTCATAGAGATTATATATAAAAGTGTGAAATGCAGGGAGTTCCAATTGGATTCTGGGCCAAAATATCCCAAACTGAACAGTTTTCCAACTAAGCCCTTCTGGTCTAGAGCATTTGAAATTCACAGAATCCCTAACACGTCACATAAGTGTATATTTATAGATTTTACTTTGGGCAGATTAGACAGAATACTTTGTGCTTGCACATATTTGAACTGTATGTTCTACTGCAGTGTTCGGTTTTAACACCCCCAAGTCAGTTCCCCCTCTAACTGCCCTTCTGGCAGGTCTTGTATCATATGCATCTGGCGCAAGTAACTGCCCGGAATGAGGGGAACGCTCTAGGTCTTCTCCAATGTGTTTACAAAAACCAACCTAGCTACCAAAAAGTGTATTGAATGTTTTTAAAAAGAAAAAGTATTTTAGTAATATCGTGAAGAGTGCATCAGTTGAAAAACAAGCTAATGCTATGTACATAAAGGGATCGATAAGCACCAAAACGTTGGCTTAATGAAGCAGTGTTGGAGTATAGATCATGCTCCTGCAGTCTCACTGCTCAATTCTCTGCCATTAAATCACGTGTTCATTTATGCAGCCCTAATCACACCTCCCTGTATGTGACTCTCACAGCCTCAATGAAGGAAAGTCACATCCAACAGCACAGTGTTTTTACTTTAGAAACTTTTAGCTCCTGCTCTGTTAATTGAACTTTAATCACAAACACATTGTCTGCTGTAAGCTCTATCAGGCTATAAACTATAGGAGATACAAACAGTGCAATAGAGGGAGTTTAAACATTAGTCTCCTAACACATTTCCTGTAAAATGAAATCTTTGTGGGTCACATGCAGGGAGGTGACAATGGCTGCATAAGCAAAGTGATTAATCTCCTGAATAGCAAAAAAAAACTAAATGAGCATTGAGCCTACAGGGGCATGATTTATACACAAACACTGCTTCATTAAGCTGAAGTTGTTTTGGTGCTTAGAATGTTGCTATAATGTTTGTCCCTACAAACACAGATTACCAATTACATCTTTATAAAATGTCATCTTAACCTTTCTATTTCCCCCAAGACCAATGCACCAACCTTCCTCTCTGTATGCGCTTGATAGGATTGGCGAAGTAGGGTCTGCATAAGTGCACCACCTTGCTAACTCAGATTTCTTCATTTGGACAGGGTTTGCAGGGTGGAACCAAGACGTTCAATAAAATTATAGTACGGTTGGTGTGTCCACTTGGGCACTCACTATAGGAGCATAGTCCTGGAACAGCTAAAATAGGAAAGCAGCACCCGTTACACTGACGTTGTACCGATCATTCCGAGTATCTATAGCCCTGATCATCCAGGCATCAGGGGACCCTGGCACCTGATCAAACTGTTCTAAATATGTTAGACTACTCTGTGAGGGTGGCTGGGCTCTCCCAGAACTATAACCACTACCGCAGACTTATTGTTAGAAACTACCGTAAAAACTCCATTAGAAATATATTGGTTTCAAGTTTTAGAAATGTGCCTTAAGGAAAGGATATAAGAACTAGTTTAACAGTTCAGTGTTTAAAAATACTTCAAATTTTTTCTTGTCAGCCATAGACCATTTGCTTTGACAGACACACAGAACTACACCATCAGAAAAAAAAACAATGCGTTCATGTGAAGCATACAGAGTATTGACTGTATAGAGCACTAGGAAGTTAACTACGCCTAACCAAAATAGAGTACAGATACAAGATATGATCACAATTTGTCTCTAGAAATCAGGGAAGGCAGTCCAAAACTGCCATCAAAACAGCACGCACGGCCATACGACAGAAGGAGCCAAGACTATCTTGTACATTTTCAGTTCTAAAGCTGATTGAGTTTTATTGAAAACCTCTTTAATGCCACCTGTAGACAGCATTTCATACTCTGGAGGTTGCTGGTTTATTTGTCTTGGGACACTCGAGGCAGCGAAACCAGTTCAGCTTTTTGACATCGTTATGGAGCTAGTATAACATTTCCTGACAGCTCTGACCATACACAGATAAGAGTATAAATTATACAAAAGTTGATGTCAAGATAAAATTCTTTATCATAATTCAGCCATGTACACAAACATTTTTTTTAAATTTCCCATTTTAAAGTAAAATGCTAAACTTTAAGATATGCTATTTTAGTTTGTAGTCATTTTTTCTGACGACTAAGGTTAGCCAAAATGGCAATTGTTTTTCAGTGCCAATTCCCATACCCCTCCTGCATCAACTCCCTACAAAAAAAACCTTGAATGTTGGCTGCCCTCAACCATCAATTAAGTTAAACAAATGCAAAGCACAGTCCCTATATTTATGCTGCAATAAAAAAATAAACAAAAACAAACCACAAAACATAGCTAATTTCCGATAAAGAATTTTATCAAAGGAATTAAACGTAACAGATCTGCTTTAAAAGGGCAAGTACATCACGAGTTGCAGCCTATTAAATGAGACACAAGCACCAGTAATGGCGTATATACAGAATATACATTTATAGAATGGGCCAGTACTGTTTACATCATAAATAGAGTAAGAGAACATTTGGAATGAAGGTGCTTACAAGGAGCCACATATTTGTACTTTATACAGAAACCGTGTTTACCCGTTCAATCCCGATACCCTCTCCTCCGTGCTCCAGAATACTGTCCATGCAGAACAAAAAGGATGGAAAGAAAGACACCCGTGGATCCCCTTCCCACCCCCACCCCAAACACTAACTCTGACCCTGCTGTGGAGCTGTTACAGCATGCAGGGATGACCCCCACCCCCTCCCCATTTTGTTAGAATATGCCTGTGCAAGAGATTAATAGGCTATTTAACATCACAAGAAAGAGCTGAATATCATCTATCAGTTTAATTTCTAACAAAATTAAGCATAATATGTATATACATTTTCCAGGCTCGAATATGAAAACACAGATACTAAGCTATCATGTCCAGGACCCATCATTTATTATCTTATGACAAGGCACGAAACGCAAAGCTTTGAAGGTCCTATGCAGTCATTGTGACAGAACGCCCCACATCCCTTACACGAGCTCATAGCTTTCAGGCTGCAGGAGCACCGCAAAGAAATCTCGTTTCCATTGCGATCAGCGATCACTTGCATGGAGAAGGATGCCTGGCCATTGACTGCATATTTGCCCAAGAGCCCAGGAGGTTGCACATCAGTAGAATAAAGACAGGAAGCCAAGTCTTGAGGCCCCTTAAAGACCTTTCCCAAAGTGGACCTTTTTGTTTTCTTGTGCATTGGCTGAGCAGAAGGTTCTATTGGCAGCTGAGTGTCTGGCCTGTCCGCTTTTGAAAACCTCATGAAAGGGAGATCCAATAGCAAAGGAACTCTGTGCAGATTTCGGATGAAGCTTGCCTTGTTACAAAGACGCTGCTTTGGTTTCCTAAAGGATTTTGAATTTTGATTGCTGGGTGGGAACTCCTCCGAGGTAGATAACATTGGGTCAGCAAGTGGCTTTGAATCAGTCGAGTCCGGTTTAATTCCTTCAAAAGGATCAGTAGAGGAACTGAAACCTCCATCATTAGCTTCAAATAGACTACTGTCCAAAGAAGGCTCAAAATGGGACAGCATTTTCTCATCATTAGTTAGACGAGGAGAAAAAACAGCATCACTTGTTGGCAAGTGGTTCTGTTCAGAAAGGTCTCCTGTAGGACAGTCACTGTTATCAGAGAGGGGTAGCTTTATCAGAGATCCAACCTCAGAAGTCTCTGTTATAAGTCTCAAGTTGTCTTGCACATCTATTTTGTGGTCAGCAATTTCCTCTTTCACAGCTTTTGACAATGATTGTATAAAGATTTCCAACGTTGGGTGTGTGGTCACATCAGGCTGTGATGAGACCACTTCTGGCTCTGCTTTGTGGTGGTTGCTCTTCTGCAAAATTTGATCCCCAGACTGAGGACGACTGCTGGCTTCAAAAGGCTCATTCTTACAGTCCATGCTGAGATCGGTTGAGCCTGGGTACATTTCCACTGAATGACCAGGTAATGAGGTCAGAGCAGTTTGTAAGTCTGCAGAAGACAGTTGGTGGGATTCAGGTGAACCTTTTTGCAGCTGCTCTGCAGTAACCACAAAGTCACTTTTACGATCTAAAGGATCCCTTATTTTCTCCTTTGTTTCAACAGGTTTAAGTTTATTCTGAAACGTATTTGACACATCACCAAGAACTGGAGTCAAAGAATCAACACTGGATTGGCTAACGTTCTCTGCAACTGGCTCAGCAGCAGTGCACTCCTTCTTGTAAATCAAACCGAACTGCACATTATTTTGTTTGTTACATTGTGCTCCAGCCTCTGACTGAATGTCCAAAGCGCCTTCCGATGTTATCTGTGAATTAAGGGGTTGTACGTTGTCCATAACCCTATAACCCTGCACACCGTCAATTATTGTACTAGAAATGGCGGCCTCTGCAGCACACGTATCTTTGGTGTCATTAAATTTTGTTTCTACTACAGAATTACAAACAGCTTCCTTTGCAGCACCAAATCCTTCTGACCCAGAATACGTGTTCTCCACACACGATGTCCAACTGATCCTGACTGGAGGAACGGCTGGCTTTTGCAGGTTTTTTCTCAAATAGGAGGACGAGAGTAATTGTGTTCTGCAGCAATTTGGAGACTGTCTTCTCTGACGTCTCTTAGAGGACCTTCTTCTCTTGGGGTTTGTTGACCAGGTCCTCCTTTTATCAATACTCCCACCTCCCCCTGGCCCTCCACCTCCACCAATTGAGGTTGTGAATTGAGAGCCACTGGTCTGACAGTCAGCAGGTGTGCAGGGATTAGTCCAGCACCCAATGGGACCAGTGTTTGGGATGATCCGTGGACAGATCTGGTAAGCTGGCAAACCTTTATCCAGCCAGGGAGGTTTGATCCGAGAAAGCTGGATCTAGGAAAGAAAATAAAAGTTAAGAGTCACAAACAAACATCAGAAATACAGATATTTTAAACAATAGCTAAAGGGTGCCGCCTTAAAAACTGACGATTATAGTGGCTCTTTCACCAGAAATACACTTATCTGATCATTAACACACATGCAACATAAGGAAATGAAAACCAAGAGAAAGAAAGAAAAATATATAAGTTAAAATAAGACAGTGCCACTTTAACCATCAGTACTGCATATGCTGTCAAACTTGTACAGAAATGAGAAGCTGAAGAATAAAATTACAAAAATCAGTATAGCCAGAAGAACAACATTTCAATAATCATGTCCGGTTTCTGATTCTTCATGGCAGCAATTGGGAGAAAGTGCAACGTTTACACTAAATTTTGGTTTTGATGGAAAACATTAGATAAAAAGCACTATAAACAATGCCACAACAGAGTGGTTCCAAGGTTCCCAGACACAAAACTTGGTGTTCTGTGAAATTACAATGTGCCCAGGATCTCCAACTTGCCGAGCTGATTGCTTATAGGTTTGAAGTCTAATAAGGACCTTGCAAGTGCCTTTTAGGAGTTTAAACAATTTAGAAATTATTTCAAATGTTAGTACATTTCCCGATTCCTGGCTGAGAATTATTGGTAATGTAAATGAACAAAACAGAGGTAAAAAGTTTGGACACCGTGACTTTAGAGAAGACTGCATGATCGCATGACTAATGGTCAATTTCAGGACAACCTTGTTTTCTACACACACACACACACACACCAGTTAAAAGACAATTTTGTAACAGACAAATGCAGCTCTCAGGGAGGAAAACCCACTCTGAGTTCAGAATAAAGAGACTGTCTCATACCCGGATTGGTGGGACTTTAGGCTCTTCTTTGGTGGGCTGTGGCTTTTCTGTGTAAACACTCTGAATTGTGTTACGAAAGGACTGACGCTGCTCCATCCGTGGCTTCTTTTCGAGGGAGGGGCTGGAGGACTCAGGCTCACAGTTCTTCCTCTTGTGTTCGGATGTCTCAGGGTGCAGCTCAGGAACTCTCTCAGAAGTCGAGGGAAGGTTTCCATCATCTTTAGGAGGTATACGGGCCTCTAGTGTTGGGACCTCAGGTTCTTTGCTCTCGGTTACAGGTGAAGAGTTGGCCTTGAAATCATCAACCTTTGCAGTTTGTTCAACACGTTCCTCTTTGATTTCTTTTTTAAACACACTCCTAGTTCTGATACGAGCTTCTGGTATCAGTGTCTCCTTGGGAGTGGTGGCTGTATTCTTCTTCTGTCCACCTCGCAGGGGACTTTTGGACACAGGTGTCACACATTTATCATCATTGTCTGATAACGATTCCACGGACAGTCCACATCTACAAAGTGAAAAAGACCAGCATTAAACTACAAAATGCAAGACTTCACATAACACCAACCAACATTATGCTCCATCAATCCAGAACACATTTGTTAAATCAAAAGTTCTCAGATGCCAGCGTTTGTAGCTCAATGAATTTCATTTTTTTGTGGAAACTGTGGCTGAAGGGAACAAAAACAGTGCAACCACTTAATAGCCACATTCATTTCTTTCATGAACAGAGCTACATCACACATTCTTCTCAACCAAACACTCAAAGGAAGATGGAATATATATGTGAACATCCAATACAAGTACTACTGCCAGGCATGTGCATAGATTGTGGGAGGGCAAGTATGTGTGCAGCAATTTTTGCAAATCACAGCAATTATAAGCAGTCTGATGAGAGCCAGGGAAACCTATATAAACAGCACTGTTTAGCGGATCTCAAATCACGCGCAAGTATAAATAAGAGTTTCTTACTTCTGCCCATAAAAGTCTTCAAAAAATGTTTCTTTCCAATCTTCCACTTTCTTTTCTTTGTCCATTTCCTGCCTCATCCGGAGTTGAGCTTCAGGAGTGAACTCCCCTAAGAACAAAAAAATGCATCTATGGTCAGAAGTCTTAATAGTGGTGGAATAAAGAACATATTACCAGAAACGCAGAAAACCCACCTTCTGCCAGTCGTTCACGCCATCTCTGACAAGCGTGAGCAAAGAACTCATTATTCAAGGCACTGCCGCTCATTCTCATTGGCCCTTCTGGAGTGACCTGCAGAGATAGTGAAAAAGGTTAATTCCTGCAGAAACTCCAGTAAGCAAAGGTTACCCTTACAAGGTTTTTGGTTTGTTTTTCTTAGAGCAAAGAATCTTTTATTATTAGTGAAAGTCCTCGTTGTGGATTATTTTATAAATAGTGCAAACAAGTTAACCCTTGCTCCATTTGAAATCAACATTTCTACAAGTCATTGCAATAAAACACTTAAAGTCTGTGCCGGTGAAGAAGGGGAGGGGTGGCAAAAGCTACAGACACGAGTTCTGCAGCTTTTGCAAACTGTTTTTAGATATGCCTACAATTAAATAAAATGCGTGCACATCTTCATTGTGGGTATATCTACTAAATAGTATTTTGTCAGCAAAGTTCTTTCAGAGACACTGCACAACATGAAACCCTCCCAAATTGCATGATATCACGATACATGAACACATACCAACTTCTGATTACGTGCTTGGTCTGATCATATAAGCAGAGCTTCTATCCAAAAAAAAATAAAAGGGTACTGATAATCCCCAGGATTTTTCAAGCTGACTTATCCACTTTTATTGAAATGCATTTGTGAAGTGTGAAAATTTAGACAAAAAAGTAAAAATCCACCTCTCTATCCTGCAACTGGGCACTTTCACCTTAGCTCCCTGTCAATCATTGTTAGAAGCTTCATCCTTTGCACCTTGCAGCCAGCATAGAGAAAGCATACAGAGAATAAAGGAGACAGTTTCTTTCACCTCGTCATTTTCAATGAATCTAAAAAGTTATTTTCTAAACTCTTCAAAAGAAAATAATGGAGCAAATAGAAGATTCAAAGTTGTACTGCACATAGCACCAAGTCATTATCAATTCATGTTAAACCTGATCTGTACTATTGTACTCAACACGAATTATTTACTTTTGTAGGAAAAAATATTGCTTTAAAAACAAACAAAAAAAACACAACATAATACTAGGAACTTGAAACTACAGCACAAATGTCAAGGCTATAACAATGCAAGATAGAGAATGAAGAATTGGTATGAGTACAATGTTTTGTTATAAACGAAGGGGGCTTATTCACTGAACTGTGAATTGAGAATGAACAGAAAAACAGTAGTCTCTCAAATTGGTGATCTGTCAGGTCCACTGTAAATTCTTAAAAATTCATAGTTCAGTGGGGAGAAAAATAAAAAATAGATTTGACCAACAGGACCAGATAAAGCCTGTTTCGGGCTTGGACTCACCTGTCTGTCCACATCAGGAAGTAAGAGGAGGAGCTGCTGCTGCAAGCTGTGTGGCAGAGCATTGAACGTTCTCACATTTATAAGAGCTCGAAGATTTGTGTTAACGAGGATAGACCCAGGGGTCTCAAAGTCAATCTCCTCCGCCTTATTCTTCTTCACCTGACCTACAGCAGCAAAGTGTAAAAACATCTTTAGAAAACAAATGGCATACACAGAAAAAAAAAAAAGTCGCTTAAACCTTCATTTTTTGCAATCACCGGGATATAATTCTTGAAAAGCCAGAGTTGCACATTGTGTGGATTAATAAGAGCAGCAAAGCAGACAAACCGACCTGATGTGGTGCTCCTGATCCCTCTTAGGTGATGTGGGTTGTCCCGACTTAAAGCAGCTCGTCGATGAAGATTTAGATTTCCCCCCAGGTTTCTGCTACTGGTGGACTGTCCTTCCCGGCCGGCGGATGAGCCTAAGACATAACATGAGAAGTTAGTTGTGTAATACACACATTGCTGATAAGCCAAAAATGAGGATATTCCATAAATATAACTCACCCGAAGTAGAGGGTAAATGAGCCCCATTTACTTTCAGAGGAGTAAGGACCACACGCGGCAACAGAACCCCACTCCTTCTCTTCTGCTTATTCATCTGATAAAGTAAATAAACCAGAGTAAGATCAAACAATGCATACAGTCTCAATTAATCCTCAAATTTGCACAAGAGGGTCACATACCTGCACCAGAGACCTAGTTTCTCTGCCATGATACTCTCCAGAACAAGACGCATTGCAGGTCTCAACTGCTGAAGAATAAATATATAAAATTGAGTGACATACTTAGGAGACACCACAATGTGTGAGAGAATATATATATATCACATAGTAGATTTACCTTAAATAAAAACATGCATGCATTTAATTAAGTATCCCCCCCCCCATGGGGGTTCTATCTAAAAACAGATTGCAATAGCTGTAGATTTCTTGTCTGCTGCCTTTCTAAGCCATTCCTTTCCTCCCCAGCCAAGACTTTCTGTGGCTGTCCAATCACAGACTGCCTAATGCAGCTCAATGAGCAGTCTGTGCAAGGCAGGTGCTCTGTGCGATTGCTGCCTCTTGAGTTTAGCTCCACTGAGTTAACCAAACCAGGAAGTAACAGGACCGGTTGTCTGATTGAAGGGGAAAGGTGTAACAAGGTTAAATAGTAGAGTGCTTTATGGGGTCTGGAGTGTCCCTTTAACATTCAACAACCACCATTTGCTGTATGTTTGCCTTTTAAAATTAAGCATTAGAATAAAATCCCCAGAATTCAAGTTTAAGTAGCCAACAAGTGTTCTCCCCTGTCTTAAAAACCTATAGGAGTAGCAATGAATAATTCGGTAATACCAAACCAGCCTTTGAAGATCCTATATACACACACACAGGATAATATACAGCTGAAAATGAAAGATAAGCAGCACATTCCATACTGGTATAGGTTCTTTATGGACTGGGTTGTTACAAAGAGTCAAATCAAAGCAATGGAACGTTGGATAGCTTTATTCCGCGTTGGTGGCATGGAGATCACAGTCCGTGCCTTGGCTCACAGGACTGCTTTTCTGTTTATTTGAATTTCTGGAAAGCATGGCAGCAAATGCAGTGGTATTAGAGCCGCCTGAACACGTATCATTTAAAACACCACCTGTGAATGTCACTGGACAGTTAACATGACATACACGAAACAGTCAAGTTGCCTTACATCACTATTTGCCAGCATCTCAGCCACACTAAACGGACAGCCGTACCAACCGAGCATTACAAGTAGAAATGCAGAGCCAACACCAATAGCGTCTGGGCCAGACACACAACCACAAGCAAATATACAACCGCCCCAGCTAGCATCTCAGTGAACCCTGCACACAGCTCACCTGACAGACACAATGGCTAGTACCACAACCACACTATGCCGCCACCAGCTGTGAGTGTAGAGGAAACATTCATCCACAACCAAAGGGATGCCTGCCCATTGCAGAGGATAAAACAAAATGAAAAAGTCTACAAGTAAAAGCATAACTGAAGCTTTTACTTAGGTGAGAGATTTAGTCAATGCTGGCAAATTCGCAGGACACTGAATGTGAATATTTATGCCACGCATCAAGTTCCAGGATGTCTTCGTTATTTTTAGTCAGTCATTAGAACACACCATTAGGCGACAGCCCCTCTACAACGCTTGCCCCCTGCAGACACTCAAATCACTTGCAAGCCACACTGCTTCTGGGTCACCGTACCTGGAGTTACTGAGCTGCCTTCCGTCCATTGGCCTCCTTCCTCATCTGCTGTATCTTCCATGTCCCCATCTTCAGGCAAGGACACAACACGAGACCACTGCGTTGCATTCTTCTACAGAGAAAATACACAGAGGTATATTCACTGTTAGAGGATAGAGAGAGCAGGGTCCTAGCTGAAGGTATACCCAAGTTCCTCATTCTCCCACGAAACCACCAACTTGCCCTCCAGCCACATTCCGTACAATAGGACGTGTTTAAATCACGACAATTTCTAACAGTTCACATGAGCATGATACTTCAGTATGCATCAATGTGTGTGGGCCTTATAGATCTATTTCAGGAACACACAGGGGAACTAAAATGCCCTTTTTTGGATCTTCCAACAGTCTTCTCATACACTGATAAAATGTTTGTTATATTAGAAGCCCTTCATAATAAAGGATCCAGAAAATCTATCAGCAACCCTGGTATATCATCTGTCGTGAACACACCACACATACACGGGATCCAATTGCTAGGCACTTTACACCATCATTTAAATAGATTTGCAAAACTTTGAGCAAGCCAAGCGATACCACGGCTTACTGAAGAAATTCAAATTGCTACCATCAATGCAATTTGTGAAGTAGTAAAAGTATAAAAGTACATACTTCAGCCAACAGCGAGTCTTGAGAAAAGCACAGATAATTCTTGTATTTATAAACATTTTGCATTCATGATTTCAGTCCTCCCATACCCTGATCTTATTAAAGGGGCACTCTAAACACCATAGCCACAACATTTACTCGCTGTAGTTATGGTACTTTAGATATTTGGGCACTGTTCTTTGTTTTTGTCAAATCATTTTGAGACAAACTAGACTGATGAAATGTAAATCACACTTCAGCAGCATTACAAAGGGGCAACTCCTGTACAACAATGGTTAGACTAGCATGTGTTATAATCATCATGGTGCTTTATATATCCTGTTAAACTTTCAGGAGATGGTTCAGCTCAAGGGTGCATACTTTCAGGTCAAAACCCTGAATTAAACTCACTCACCTTCATGGTAAAAAGGCTGATCCGCCCTGGAAGTTTGTAGAAAAGGGCTTCTCGAGTTCTCGAATTGGAGTGTAACATGGTGTTCAGACAGGCCAGCGGTGAGGAACCACTGCTGAGGACATGGACATCATGAAATCAACATAAAAGTCAACACCAAACCACATTAAACACCAGACCACCACCAGCCTTTCGAATCATCACACATCCCATCACAAGTCCAAAATGTAATATCCCACACACAACTGCTTACACCTACACATATAAATATATTACACATCGAAACATATCTGCTTACCTTCTGCAGACGCAACGGTCAAGGGGAATAAGAATAAAAATAAAAATAACAAAAAATTAGTCCAGTACAAAATATACTTCATACATCAGCACCCAAAGCTATTATCCTATCGACTCTCTGCCCAAACTGCTCTTTGCAGTAACCACATACAGGAGTTCCTGCAAATTCCCCATCAGTGTAGTTTCTGCAGTGAGAGATCAAACAAGGAAGTGACTCAGTCAATCATGATGCTCATTTAACCTCCCAAAGCACTACTTTATGAACACGGCAAGAATTTAAGAAACTGTTTGATTGTTCACTCTTTCTGCAGTAACACATGAATTGCAACTCTCAGAACCCTAAGCCACGACATTATGTACTGGAGGGGAGGGGGTTGGAGCATAACTATCTGTATTCTCCTTTGCTCCATCATGTTTGTATTGTTCTTTTTGCTATTGTTTACAACTTTCGAGATTACCATCCTGGTCAACACGTGAGGACTATTTCTGCCCATTTAGGGACTACTATCTTGTGACAAACTGCCTTTTGTCACTGGATTTTTATGTGACAAACTGCCCTTTGCCCCAGGCTGTTGGAGGAGCTTGATTGCGTTCACCCACTGGAAGCTGGAGTCCGGTATTGGGTCCAGGGTGGTTGGAGGACGGCGAGACCCCAACCAAGCTGCGGCGGATCGTGGGGTGTGCAGTGGTTATGGTGTTGAGTGGAGTGCTTGGAGCCCTCGGTGAGCACTAGGAGCATCCGTCAGCGGAAGGTACCCAGTCAGGGTGCCAGGCGTTCCGTTCCATATATCTTTGCACATTTTACTATACTGCAACGCACACTACAGGGTGTCTCAATGAAGTAGGAATTGTGGAATTCAAAATTAATTTCAAATTTTGGCCAAAATAAACAAAGTGAAAACACGGAGCACCGATTTTTTTTCTTTTTTAATTGGGCTATTATGACAAGGTTTTAAATTCACTCCAGTTCTTCACTAAAAAATTTAAAGGGACACTATAGTCACCAAAACAAGTTAAGCTTAATTAAGTAATTTTGGTGTATAGGTTATGCCCCATGCACTCTCACAGCTTCACGCTCTGTCATTTAAGAGTTAAATCATTTTCATTTATGCAGCCCTAGACACGCATCCCCTGGCTGTGACCAACATATGCTGCATGAAAACAAAATGGTTTCATTTTCATTCAGATGTTTTATCTCCTGCTCTGTAAATTCAACTTTAATCATACACAAGAGGCTCCTGCAGGGTAGAGCACACTATTAACAGAGCAAGAGATAAGAAATTCTAAGTAAAACAGATTTTTTGCAATAAAGGAAGTTTGAATATTAGATGCCTCTCTACAGGAAGTGTTTAGGAAGGCTGTGAAGTCACATGCAGGGAGGTGTGACTACAGCTGCATAAACAAAGTGATTTAACCTAAATGGCAGAGAATTGAGCAGTGAGACTGCAGGAGCATGATCTATACACCAGAACTGTATTATTAAGATAAGATTGGCTGGGTGACTAGTGTCCCTTTAATTATGATGCACAAGAAAAAATTTAAATATAGGGGATGGGGGTTTATTTGGAAATGTTCTTCAACTCTGTTATAGTGAGAACTTTTCTATATTGGCTACATTTTGCAATTCAGTTGTTAAATACACTACATTCTGTTAAAAATAAATTTCACTGATAAAAGTGAACTTCCACAGATGCAAGAGGGTGCTCCCCATCCACAATTTCCCTCACCCAGCAAACAAACCCCATTTTATAAACTTTTTGACATTATCACTCTTCATATATTCCGAAGGAACTGCACAAAACACATACCTGGTTTCTTTGAGTCCCTCTGCTTCAATCACGTTCAGGATCTGCTTTGGAGTCATTGGGGCATCAGAATAATTTTCCAAAACCTGAATAGAAACAAGGTTGATTACTTGAAATTGATCTTGGAAATTTGAAAATATCCCTTTAGTATAATCCACATTGACACAATGCAAGCAGCCATATATAGCGCAACCCTCGCCTTTTCCAATAGCTACACATATCTTATTAGATAGATCACAAATAGCACTTCTCCATGGTAACAAGAATCAGTCTGGTGAATACCACTGCCCAGTATCGACATTCTCAATACCACTGCCATTGTGGTACTCAAAACAAGTTTACGTTACCCAGCAACCATTACAAACTCATCGCATCACTTCAATCCACGCACTCTAACCCTGGATATTGAATAACCCACTGAAAAAGAAAACTTACACTTTACTACACCCCCATATCTATTACACATTCACAGAGCCCGATATAACCATCGCATGCACAACCTTACTCATTATGCAGATCAACTCCCACACACACACACTGCATGTAGCTCCAAATCAGAACAGCCAAACCACGCACCTGAACTCCGAGCAAACTTGATACAGGTTGCCAGACACATCACGCTTTCCTGGACTAACTTATTCTTCGAGCCCCTGAGGCAGTATGTAAAAAGTGCTCCTCTGTAGTAGGCTTCATTCTTTTGCTGTGCAGGATAGGTTACCTTTTTGACAGGCTGATTTCCCTCGTCTTGCAGCATTTGATTTCTACCTGGTCCTTTAATTTTCATATGCCGCCCATCAAGACTCATAAGCAGTATGTATCCAACAGGATGTATATATGATTCATGGCACACCCCACACGCGCCTCCATGCCCTCCTCGACACACCCATCCATGCCCTCCCCAACATATTCCCACACACCTCTCCATGCCCTCCTCGACACACCCCTCCGTGCGCCCCGATATTCCCACACTCCCCTCCGTGCCCCCCGATATTCCCACGCATCCCTCCGTGTCCCCCCCGTGAGCTTCCCACA